CTGCTGCTTCTACCGATACAGGTGGATGAAACTTGTCGGAAATGTTAGCAAATGTCGCCTGTTTTCATTCCACTTCCCACTGGTCATAAATAGAGAGTGAAGCTGAAGAGGGAGGGGGAGAAGAAAAGCCTGTAGAGGAGGCTGGAGCCTGCTGCTGACTCCACCCTAGGGCCACCTTGCATGGCAGGCGGCTTTCATATCCCGAGGCGACGCTTTGACTTCGGTGCAATCCAGGAAGGAATGTTCTCTCTTAAAACGAGAGCTCATAGCTAAAGTCATCACATTAAGTGCTATTTAAATCTAACTGATGAAGGTTTGGGGGACCTTTACTGAACAGCACCTGCGTTTTGTTTTATTTTTTATTTTTGTTTTGTTTTGGTTTTTGTTTAATTGTATTTGCATTTTCTGTTCTAATTAACTTAAAATCATGATTCTGATAATAATAATTTACACATGACTGATTGGTTGTTGCTAGACTGAATAAGATTTAGCAATGGAGTGTTTTAGTACCAGGAAAGGTTTCCAATTCCTTTGTTTTCTCTTTTGCTGATTTGTGTATCACAGACTTAGAAAACAACAGATTGTTGGGATTCAGATCAGCTGATCACACTGAATATTAACTGATTCCAATCATCAATTTTTGGTGCTTCACCAAAAACAGTTAGATTCTTGTTCAAAATCAAATTAGACTATTGTACTTTTAAAGACACAAGCAACACCAGACAGGGATCTCCTACTATCCTGCATGTTTCATTCAGCTATTTTTCATCTGATTCAAAATGTCTCAATTACTTCTCCAGCATGTCCTGAAGTTCCACGGAAGCCTGTTGATGACAAACATAATCAAATCAGGACCAGGATTGATGTTAACACGGTATGTTAAAAGGGGACAAATTTACAGAACATCCCTTGGGTGATGGTGGCACAAGATTTAAGTGCTCGCCCAGTAATCGGAAGGTTGCAGGTTAGAGCCCACTCAGTTTGTCGCTGTCATTGTGTCCTTGGGCAAGACACTTAACCCCCCTTGTTTACTGGTGGTGGTCGGAAGGACCGCTGGCGCCAGTGCTCAGCAGCCTTGGCTACATCGTAGCTCAGCGTGAGAAGGTGTGTGTGAATGACAAATTGTGTTGTAAAGCGCCTTGGGGGGGTTCCAGGACTCTAGAAGGTGCTATATCAAATGCAGGTCATTTACCATTTGTACCATGTAAATCAGCTCTGCACTCTGTTGTCAATGTTTTAACTGCAGTCATGAAGTAATTAGCCTATCTGAACTGGTCCTCTGCTAACAGGAGTGCCTTATCAGATAAATAATTGGGTTTAATAATTTTTTTCTTAATGCATTTGAGAACATTATTTGGGTTGTAAAAAGTAAATGATAACACAGTTGTCCCTCATTTATAGTGAATTAAATTCTAAAAAAAAATAAATTGCAAATAGGCAAAATCCTCAAAGTAGTCGGCTTCATTTTTCACAATTATCAGAGGTTTGTAGTGTGATCAGCTATGTTGTTGGGGTCACACTCAAAAACACACCAGAATGTCCATTTCTCAACAGTTTTATTTGCACACACTGACTCCAGCGTTTCACTCTCTCGTTGTCACGTTGTAGAGACTCGCGTCTTCTCCTGTACATAAAAATGCAGTAGTGACATTACTAATGCGCTCCAGCTGTGGTACGGTATGTGCTCTTCTTCTCTGCAGACAAACTAATTCCAGCGCATGGCCACGATGTTTTAAGGCTGTAAAACCCATCAATACACACTTTATACACTTTTCTCAAACATGCATTAACACTTTCTCTCTTGTTTAAACACTCTCAAAGTTCAAACCTTTGAGCAAAAGTTGAACCGCGAAGGACCACTGTACTATTTAAGTCTGTTTAATAAAAATGTCATGATTTCATTGCATCAAAGAATTAATCCAACCAATTATAATAAAAGGTAGTTGTCTAGATGTTTGAAACACATGACAGATTTCAGTGAAAGACTGCTGTACTTTTATTGTGTGTGATTCATCTCAAACTCAAGGCAACACTTTATGTTTTGTAGTTGGTAGAAAGTAGCAGGGAGAAGTTTTATCCATCTGGAACTTTAATAAACAGGACTTAATGTACATCTGACATTCATCTAGCAGCACTTCTAAGAAACTCCCCTCTCCACCTCAGTGTATACATACAGCGATCTACTGCCACCCAGTGTCAGAACACAATAACTCCCTCTTTTCTTATACTGTAAGTGCATCCCACAAACTCAAATACAGTAAAAATCACAACTCTAAAACACCTTATTCAATCAACCTGTACACTTTGTCATGTCACTGAGCCACCAAGGTCTTCTCACACGTGATGAACCCATAGTAGTTAAAGAGCAAGTCACCCCCTACCAGAGTCTTACTCAACTCCCACTTCATGTTTGAAAAATGTAACAAATGCTGTTGCCTGGCAGACCGAGAGAGGCTAAGTCGCTAAGAAATACACAGACTCACAACGACATTGTGACATCATAATGTACCAGCTAATGTCATAGTGTACCTCTTAGCCAATAGCAATGGCAGATTTAAATTCAAAAGCAGTGCAGAGTTTTTACCTGAAGACGGCACAACAATGACAATTTTAGGCAGAAAATTTTAATTTTACATAAAATGCAAGAAAGTGCCAAATTATTGACTACATGTGTCTACAGCACAATTAGACACTTGTTTATATAGTTTATCAAGGGGAAAATATTGATTTGAGGGTGACTTGCTCTTTAAAGTAGTTTTAAGACACCACCAGTGACTTCACATGCAACAAGTCCAAAACGTCAGCATCAGGGACTCTCACGCTTGAGCCTCGCTCATCTTGGCTCGAGCCTGCCCACAGGAAGGCTTTTTTTTCTTTCTTTTGCAGTGAGGAGAGAGGGTGGAGAGTATTTTAGTGACTTTGCAACATGGCCAAACACGTTCTGTTAGCCAATCAGAAGTGCAGTGTGTGCATATTGATAATAATGAGTAATCCTGCTCATTACTGTTTTCTGCATCTCAGAACAGGAGCATCATAGCTTTTTTTAAAATGACTCATAAGGCATTGGTTTACACTAGAGAACACTGCAACACCTTTAACTGACTAAAGTTTTGAAACCCAGCACCTCGATTACACATCATTTTAACATCAGATGTTGTTACTGGCTTTTATATGAACAGCCCATCACCACACAAATCTCTTGCGAGTCTATTAGAGAGCAGAAGGGATAAAAGCTGCTGGAAGGACACAATCTGTCAGTCTGCAGCTCACTGTTGTTCGTGGCCACATGCACCATTTGGAGAAAGAATCTTCAGCCTTTGAAATGAGCCCATACTCACAGGTTTGTCTTTTGACATCAGTTTGACAATAATATCTGTTATTATGATACAGCAAACTGTAGAATTGTACTAATTTAAATGTAAAACATCTAATCGTTTGGCAGTCACTAAAGTGATGCAAGGTTTGCAGTTCTAGTAATTACAGTAAGAGCACATGAGCATGAAAATATGTTCAAGTTTTACTAGGCAGCCCTAAGTTAAAAATTTTATTACAAAATATGCACATATTTATTTTTGTTTTTCTCTTATATAATTTCATAGATATAGAAACTCTTGAAAAAGAAGTTTCAGATAAAATATTGTTGTGTTTTCTTTTTGTTTACATGCATTAATAGAACAAGAATCAGGTAGGCTCACTAACCTAGACTGTGAGTGAGACAGCTTGCAAGAATAAGTAGGCTTCTGGTTGATGAGACAGTGTTTAGAAGAAGCCTTAATCTTTCTCACACCTGTCATGCTGAGATAAATATGCGCTCATACGAGGAACCAGTAGGGGTCAGTGTAACGCTTCCTGTTTGCTAGAGGCCAAAATGGGCAAACCATAGATCCACTGCACTCTGCAAAATTGTAGTGAATTTGTCCTGAAGTCAAATTTAAACAACATATAATAATTTCAAGTACTGGAGTTAATCTGATCTAATGTGTTTTAGTTTAGAATAGGATGCTAATTTTAGCAAAAAAACATCTTGCTCAGTTAGAAAAACTGATTTAAAAATCAAACACTGAGACACAATTTAGAATTTTCTGGTTAAGTCTAAAATAAAATAAAAACGTGCAGCAGAGCACTAATGCATTTATTTTCTCTCTGCACAGGGTTTCTGCTGCATTAACTGGAAAAATGATGGACTACCTGTTTCGACGTGAACATCCACAGATTGCTTTATGTTGATACAGGAACTATAAACATCAACACTAACATGTTGGCATCTCCATCTTCTCAGCAGGTCAACCTTGAACCAGCCTCTGCTTCTTTTTTGGAGAGAGCTTCATTTCGTACAAAATAAACAAAACCTATCTGGACAAAATGAACCACCCACACTTGACCTGCATTTGGGAAATCGGGGGAGTCTGAGTGCCTCACTGAGGCACCCAAACAGTCAAACCTGTTGTGCTCAGGTTAATGTTTCTCTGTAGTGTGACTGAGCGTGTGGCGTAGCTTTGGATCCACAGTGGAACCACAATCCAACGGGGCACCCAGCCTTCGGGCCGGAGATGCTGCATACCAGCAACTACTCCCTGGTGCTTCTGATTCAGCTCAGCCTGCTCTCCTTCGACCTGTTTGTCAACTCGTTCAGTGAACTGCTGAGGATGGAGCCGGCTGTCCAGCTGGTGCTTTTCATGTAAGTTAAACTTGATCACTTTCAACAACTTTTTGTCTTCTTTAGCTTGAGTGGAAGCAATTCAAAATGGCAAATTGGTTTTATTTTCACATAAAATACTGGCTGTTTGTCCAGAATGCATTGAATTATGCAGCTTATCCATCCTTTTCTTCAACAGCATCCAGGATATTGGCATCTTGTTTAACCTGGTCATCATTCTGCTGATGCTGTTTAACACCTACGTGTTCCAGGTTGGCCTGGTTGCCGTTCTGCTGGAGCGTTTCAGAGCCCTGCTAATGCTCTCTGCTCTCTACCTGACCTTCAGCATCATTCTTCACTCTTGGCTTGTGGTACGTAGTGTGTTCTATACATTTTTATTTTAACTCGTCTTACTTTGCATAGTTACGTAAAATCATAAAAAGTACTTTATAGACACCTAAAAGTACAATGAAAGGAAATTAGAAAAACAAAATAAACAGGAAAAGATGTAGAATTAAGTAGGTGAGAACCATCTTTATTACAGGGCAGTTAATTTTAATTGATTGCAGACTTTTCAATTAGTTTAGTTTTTATTATTGAATTATATCTTCTTTTTTTTTCAGAGTCTGCGCTGGCTGAGAACCAACCGATTTGTCTGGACAGATGGGCTTCAGGTGCTGTTTGTGTTCCAAAGATCAGGTGTGACGACGTTTTCATTCATTCAGAACAAAACAGGAAAGTGTCAGAAAAACACAAGTCAGGATGGCCATTTGTCTCTAGTTCACAGGAGTTTTTAATGTTATAATAATCATTGAAATTGAATTTTATATTTGATGCAGCCTCGGTTCAGATTCAAACAGAACCACGAGGGAGGAGGGACCAACTGACTCAAAAGTTACTGCCACACAAAAAAGGCTTTCCTCCTAAATAAAAATATATTTACAATAAACTAGGAAATGAGTGCTACTCCTCAGTTTTATAATTATTCTCTTTAGAGAAGGAAAATGATGATGCATGAACTGACATTTCAGTGTTGACGAAACAAAAATCTTTTACATAACGCCTTTCAAAATAAAAATCACGAGGCGCTTCACAAGAACAAAAGTAAAAATAAAATTGATTTTAATTTGATTTTAAAAGAGTATAAAATTGGGAAACGTAAAACATTGTGATTAAAAAATGTAAGGAAAGGGAAAGAGAAAATGAATAAGAAATAGTTGATCAGTGGATTCCAAGAAAGGCAGAGTCAGTAGAAAGAGCAGAACAAGGGGAGGGTGATGAAGATCACACCAAAGCCAGCTTGAACAAGTGAGTCTTCAGCTGCTTTTTGAAGGAGACCACTGAGTCCACTGATCTCAGACTCAGGGGGAGAGAGGTCCAGAGTCTGGGGGCCACAGCAGCAAATGTCTGTCACCTTTGGTCTTTAGCCTGGTGCGCTGCACAACCTAGGATTTGGTCACTGGACCTCAGGGACCTGCTGGGGGTGTAGGAACTAAGAAGATCACCAATGTAAGATGGTGCTTGTCCATGTAAGGCCCTATAGACCAGAACCAGGACCTTGAAATTAACCCTGAAGTTGACTGGCAGCCAGTGAAGCTGGAGGAGAAGCGGGGTGATGTGGGTGTGTTTGGAGGACTTGGTCAGAAGCCGAGCACAGGCATTCTGAACCACCTGTAGACGGTTCAGGGAGGTTCTGCACAGACACGTGAAAAGAGAGTTGCAGTAGTCTAAGAGTGAGGAGATGAAGGTGTGGAGAACTGTCTCAAGTTCAGAGCGGGACAGAATGGGGCTCAGCTTATCAATGTTCCTGAGATGGAAGAAGGAAGAGCGAACAAGAGAACTGACATGAGGATCCAGCATAGTGACAGTGCTGTCACTATGCTGTTCAGTGACATAAATAGTACACACACACACACACACACACACACACACACACACACACACACACACACACACACACACACACAGTGGTTGTGATATAATACTGCTATAAGCTCATTAGTGGATAAGAGGCTTTATTGTCTGGGTTGTTGTTGTTAGCAGCAGGTGATCCTTTACCCATTTACCCACTACACATTTCTGTTTTGTTAACAAGGCTGGTCTAGACATAAATGTGACTTATTGACAGTATTTATTTATTTTTTCTATTTTACAATTTGACTTAAATTAACCACAATTTCCAATTTCATCACCTCTGTATATGTAGGGTAACCCTTCTCATTAGAACCCATGACACAATGACAGATAGAACTACTATTTAGTAAAAACACTAAATACTACAGATTGTTTAAAAACACTAAATACTACAGATTGTTTAAAAACACTAAATACTACAGATTGTTTAAAAACACTAAATACTACAGATTGTTTAAAAACACCAAATACTACAGATTGTTTGACAAATGAAAATTCAGAAGGTTGAAATTTTCCATGTAGTAATAATGTATTTTACTGCACTTTTTGTAGCTTCTGTGCTGTACCACTACTTCTACAAGCGGACCTCAGAGTATCTGGGCGACCCCCGTCTCTATGAGGATTCTCCGTGGCTGCAAGAAGTCTTTGCTCGGGTCAGACAGTGACCTCACTGCAGCAGAGTCCAGATTCCACAAACTTGACTTGACTTGTACTTTATTTTTAACTAACGTAAAAAAAATATATATATTTTTTTATACGACACAACTCGACACAAAAGCAATCAAATAATAAAGTCCGAAAAGGAGCAGTTAGAAGTAAAACTTGTACATTCCTACCCCCTTCTCACTTATTCTTATTCAACTTATCTCAAAAACAAAATTTAAAAATTAAGAAATATATCTATATAAAAATAACAATAATACAGAGAACTAATAGATTAAACATACTCAACAATCAACTTCTTGTATAATTCTATTTAACCCAGCTCATCAACATAATTATCCAAAAGATGTTTTTTGTAGCTCTTCTTAAATTGATGTACTTTTACACATTTTTTCTAATCTTCACTCAAATTGTTCCATAATTCAACCCCATATTGTTGTACACATACTCCTCTTTGTTGTCCGAACTCCCTGTTTTTTTTAAGTTTAATGCCCCTCTTAAATTGTACCCATTGTCTTTATCATTAAACATTTTCTGTATATTACATGGAAGTAATTTATTTCTTGCCTTAAACACGATTACTGCGGTTTTAAACTTCATCAGATCAATAAATTTTAACACTTGTCATTTTAAAAGCAGTGTTGTTGTGTGTTCCCTATATCCCACATTACATACTATACTTACTGCTCCTTTTTGCAGTATGGATAGTGATTGTAGATTACTCAGGTATGTGTTTCTCCAAACTTCCACACAGTAATTCAAGTATGGCATTACCAGTGATGAAAACAGAATATACAATGATTCTTGATTCAGTAAAAGCTTTATTTTACCCAAAACACCAATGCTCTTTGCCAATTGTGTTTGTATATATTTGATATGTGGTTTCCAGCTAATATTATGGTCTAGGATAACCCCCAGAAATTTTGTTTCATAAACTGAAGAGTTTCATAAACTATTCAATATGGTTTTAGAATTAAAACATGTTTCATCATTTTATTATGCTGCATTTTTTAAGATAAAGAAAAAAAAACTGATGTTTGAAATCTTGTTTATGCTTTAACAAGTTGAAGAAAAGTAATAAACACATAAAGCGAGGCCCGATACACATTAAAAAGAACAGATCCTGAAGATAATCCACAATGATATTTTCTTTTGGACTTGGACTGTGCCAAAATAGTAAACAATATAAAAAAAACTTTTAGCTGACATTGCAAACCTGAGATGATATATTGGTAACATCCAAATAAAAGTCATAATCTGGTATTAAATAAATATTCACAACCACCTTTCACCCATATGATAAAATACAACAATGTGTAATTATGTGAAAAGCTTTATACCTGTCAGAAGTCCACCTGTCCCTCAAATGTCAAAACTATTTAAATATAAAATGTTGTGAAAACTTTGAAATGCTTTTTGTGTTTATAGAGCACTCCCAACACTTTCTTTTACAATGTTTTGAGTTTTTACTATTGTATTTGTTGTTTATTATGTTGCTGCATTTTCAAAATAAAATGTTTACAAACATTTGACACCATTCGTGTTGCTCTGAGTTTATTTATAAGACTGATAAATAACAGAATTGAACCTTTATGGTAAACAATACCTGCTGTATGAATGTGAACTAGTGGGGTTAAAATGTAAAACCCAACAATACAATGTGACTATGAACTCTGAATGTTTTCTGGGTCTAAACTTCTGTTGCAACACTTGTGTTGAAGCGCGACACCAGAGGAGAGTACCGCAGCTGCTCCTTCAGCTCATCCATCTCTCTGAGCAGTGACGATTCCTGAAGGTTGTACTGTGGAGACAAAAACATCCTGATGTAAAACTAGACGCATTCAACTTAAATGAAAGTGCAACAGTCTTCAGCAACCCCTCATCTTTATGTGTTGTCTGGGAAAAAAGAGAACAGAAGAAAGTCAAAGTCCCAAAGTCATCATCACGCCCTGGTGAAATCACATCTCTGTATTTGACCTGTGGGGAGCGATGAGCTGCAGCTGCGGCTGTGTTCAGGAACTATTTGGTGGTTTAACCCCCCATCCAACCCCTTAAAGCTGAGTGTCAAGCAGGGAGGCGTTCGGTCCCAGTTTTAAGCTCTTTGGCATGACCCGACAGGGATTTGAACCCTGATCTACCAGTTTCAGGGCAGACACTCTACCACTAGGCCACTGAGAAGGTAGTAACGCTTCTTCTTTGAGACTTAAATGCTTTAAAAGACACATTCTAGTGAAAATATTCAGAGACAATTGCCCCTCGGGGATGATTAAAGTTTTTTTGAATTTGAATTGAATTTGAATAACTGGATAAAAAAATAAACCCCATCACTAAAGGCCTTTAAAAGCTAAGACATTTTCTGCTGCAAAGAGCAAAAAAGTTGTTTCTACTCAATTGTTGTAAAAACATTTTATTGTTATGAAACTTGAAAAATAATAATTTGACTTGAATGACGATTAACAATAGTTTAATTACCTTTACATCATTACGATGCACCTTGATTATAAAAACAACAACAAATGAAAATCACCAGACAAACTCACCCTGACTGCATATTTATACAACTGCTCAGCCTCCATGAGTCGTCCAGACTGAGAACAAAAGATTTAATCAGGTTAATAGTTTTAGGAACAAAAGGTTTTTTTTTCTGAGGGGTGCTCTGTTGCTCCCAAACATTACATTAGATGAATTTGCTTTTTTCTCTTTAAACTGCAGAAAACAGCGAGATTGCTTGATTATAAGGTCCCGTATTCTCTAGACAAAAAGGGCAGCCTTTTCCATGAGGGGGGAAAGTGTCGGTCCCAGACTGTTCTAGAACATATTCTAATCAGCGTGAACCTTAGAGACAGAAGCAGCCGTGTGAGAGGTTGTGCGTTTTCTCACCCTGAGGCAGATCAGAGCCAGGTAGGCACACACTTCTGCGTTCTCTGTGTCCAGATGGTTGGCTGCAGTCAAAGCTTCCTCAGCTCCACGCAGCTCTTCCAGCTGGACCAAAACACAAACAAGAAACAAGTCATTAGAACATCACGGTTCCTAACCATCGCTGACTGATACTAATGGATCTACTGTAGCGGGAAGTTCAGCATCGTCCACAAGGATAATTCATTATGTGTGTTTACCTGCAGTGTAAACTGCTTCTAGGACAATAATCTCATTTAGATTTCTATAAAATTTAATTAGTAAACTTGTTCAACACAAAACCAGATCAATTCAAATTTCAGTAAAAGTATATAATAATTTCATAAGCAAACCCTTACCCTGTAACAAGCTGTACCCAAGCCCAGCCACGTCAGGCATGACGGAGAACGCTCACAAGCCTGCAGATAAATGTCTTTGGCTAGCTCAAACTGAAATTACAAATTAAAATTAGTTAGGCAGAATTTATTGAAACATTTCTTGCTTCAGAATAACTAAAATGTTTACTCTTTTACAGACATTTACATAAATAATAGATCTTTTTTTTTAAGATCCAGGAGAGTCCAAAGGGGTTCGAATGAAGGCAACTGAACTTGTTTGGTTTCTTGAAGACATTTAGCTTCTCATCCGAGGAGCTTTGTCAGTTCTGACTGGAATCTCCTTTGAAGGAAGGCAGGCTGAATGCCCCAGAGGCATATTGCTGCCCCAACACTCCACTCTCATCAGAATTCAAGCTCACAGCCTGTTGTACACCAGTGGCGGCTGGTGAAAAATATTTTTGGTGGGGCTGTGCTATTTTTTATTTTTAAACAATCTTGTGCTTTCTGAGCTTTGTGCACAACTCCACTATTTCCTGAATTAAGCACAGCTCTTTTATTTCCTGTCTTACATCATTGGACAAACTGATTCATCCAGGTGTGTCTGACTATTGGCACGCTGCCTTGCAGACCAAGGTTGAAAAATACTGCATTAAATTGCACATAAAATAACATGACCATAAATGGTAAATAGGCAATGCAAGAGGCAAGTAACAAAAACATTTTGTTTAATTTCAACATTTGAGTGAACACGAAAAATTATGAGCAGGTCACTGTTACAGTAATGGTAGTAAACACTACTTAGACAAAATGCCAGAAATTTACACTGTTAAATATTTCTGGAGTGTTGTGCCAAGGTCAACTTTATACAAAGATCAAGTGGATGCATTTGTGTGTGTGTGTGTGTGATACCTCATTTGTACAGAAATGTTGCCCTTCTGTCCTTCTGAGTGGCAAAGCTCTCGATGACCTTTTTATTGAAGTCAGGAATGTTTGTGAAAAGCTTTTTCTCCATGGAGAGCATGGCAAGAGCATTCAGCCCATCCTGTGTCATGGTGTTCCTCAGGAAAGTCTTAATCCTCTTCAAAGTAGAAAAGCACCTCTCTGATTCGGCTGTGGTCATGGGTGTGGTGACAAGAATCTTTAAAAGAGTGACAGTCTCTGTGAACGTGCTTTGAAGATTGTTCTCCATGAAAAACTGGAAGAGAGTCAGTGCACCAGTGCAAGCCCTGAACTCATGGTTCTCATAGATGAGGGATAGCTCTGTTCTGAGCCTAGCTTTGTTCAGCATGGGGTAGGCCTCTACAGCGGTCGCCAGTGCTGCATCTGGGAACTGCGCTGTGTGTTGCACAAACAAGTCACTTTGTAGCAGAGTGGCAGCAACGAGGTGCTTGGTAAAAGAGAATTACTCTTTTGTATGGCTCAGGATGGTGTCAGAAACCTGTCATATGATAAATAAAAAACAACAGATAAGTACATAGGAAACACTTTCATAGGAAATAATGTCATCAGTATCCTCTTACAAATGTCATATTTCCCAGTTTTTGGGACAATAACACATTTCTGATTCTCAATTAGATGTTTTTACATTTGAAGTAAAAACATCTAATTGAGAATCAGAAATGTTTTATTGTCCCAAAAGCTGGGAAATTTGTTTGCTGCAGCAGAAGTGTAACAAGTAAAATGGAATCAGATTGATGTATGTACAAATTTACATGAAATACACATTTACATGATTAAATATGTATAATAAGTATGTGTTGAAATCATAGACTGTAAATACATGTATTGAAATGAGTTTTTACTGTTATTGCACATTAAACAATGTACATGTTATTAAACAAATGTCCCTGTTTGTGGGACAACCAAGGATTTCTGATTCTGATTGTCTTGTTCACAGAAATGTAATGTACAGCTTACCTCTGCATCCAGCTGCTGTTCTCCCTGGCCAAACGTCCTTCGTTTCTTCCGTTTCCCTCGTCGAGCTGCATGGCAACGTTAGCTCGGCCTAGCATGGCTAGCTTCACCGTGTTGTCCATGTGTGTCCGGGATGACTCGTGTTTCTTCACCTTCTCAGAAAAATGTTTCATGTCTGTAACTCCTGACACAATCCATGCCTTATCTGTCCCAGTCGTTTTGAATAACAAACACGGAAAGCAAAATAAAGCATTAGCGTGATTGCATCCAGTTAGCCAAGCCTTCCTGGTGTACCAATTTCGGGAGAAGCCTCGTGTGTACAGTTTACCCTTCTCCTTGTCCTGCTGGCTTATCTTTACTTCGGGCTGATCTGGTCCAAGCTCTTTGACATTAAGTTTTTCAACCATTGTTCTCCTCACGAACGGATACTGGAGAAGAGACCGAACTGAATTCAGTGGCTGCTGAGATCCGGTAGATCCGGATGCTCGTTGTAGGCCCACTCTTGTCCATCACTGCATCTGCGTCACCACCAAATAAATACCTTGCTCGAGTCGAGCTCAACCCAACACCAACGAACAGCCTTGGGCGGTAGCTCTATCGCCCTTCAGGCTTCCGAATCGATGACGTTGATTGGATGCATTTCCATTCTTATGCGTTTGATTTTCTTGTCAGCAATTGGCTGGCTGCTTCACTGCTGTTTGGGCGATCTTTCTGTCGCCTCCACCGCTTGGCAGGGAGCTTCTCACCAATGATATAGATATATATGTATGATTTGTTTTTGTTACAAAACACACAATTAACTTAGAATATGCGATTATTGTTAATTTTATGTATTTATTTTTTTAAATAAAAATTAAAAACACTGGGGAAAACTGGGGGCGGCACCCTATCGCCCTCTAGTGGCCAGCCGCCACTGTTGTACACCCCCACCGCACACAGAAAACCCATGAGCACCCTCACACTGCACTATAAGGAGCAATATCGTGCCTAAGCTAAACACTGACACTTCGGCATCTGTCAACTCCAAAGAATACCCATCTCTGCTCCACACTTACAGTACCTCCCACAATGCAGGAGTACATGCTCTACAGTTTCCAACTCCCCACACCGACACCTCCCATCCACATGCCTCCCAAATAAAAACAACCCATCCCAGAGGCCACTATGGCCACTCAACCGCAACCTGTTTAGAACCACCAAGACCCGCCTCTGCAGACACAACCAGACTCCCCCCAGTCCTCACCAATTGCTACAAACCATAATAGGTCCTACCCTTTCGCCCCCCATCCCACGAGGCCTGATTGCTTCCTTTACTCCTCTTTAGATGGTTTGAGAGAGGAAGGAACCTATGTCAAACAGGAAAAACCTACATTAAATAGGGGAGGACTCATGTTTCATCTTTCCAACACTTATAATGCAGCTCTGAATCTAATTCCCAAACAGTTTCAGTCTATAGGTTCACACCTTCCTGCATCTAATCAACAATTCCCACACAACTGAGGCTAACAACTCCTCGGGGGTAGGGAGGAGGGGTTTTCAGAGTGAGTTTCTGCTAGTTAAGCAACAATAGACAGCTACAGCTTATAAGCTTGACTCTCCCATATTCCAGTTAGAATTGATAAAGCTCAGATGAGAAGCTAAACGTCTTCAAGAAATCAAAGAAGTCCAGTTGCCTTCATTTGAACCCTTTTGGATTACCATGACCTGGATGACTGAGAATCTTCAGTATCCAGGTGAGGTAATGAGAGTTGTTTTAATGTTTTAGTAAAACCACACACACACACACACACACACACACACACACACATACACACACACACACACACACACACACACACACACACTTTGTGGCTGCAGAGATTATAGGTTTAAACAGTTTAACCCTCCCACTGTCCTAATGGGTGTGACCCCATGGTGGTTCATGTGGGCTGCATGGTGGCGCAGTGGTTGGCACTGTTGCCTCGCAGCACGAAGGTTGCAGGTTCTAAACTCGGCTCTGCTGTGGCCTTTCTGCATGGAGTTGCGTGTTCTCCCCATGCATGCGTGAGTTTCCTCCGGGTACTCCGGTTTCCCCCACAGATCACAACATGCCCTATAGGTTATAAATTGTAATTCGCTTTGGATAAAAGCGTCTGCTAAATGAATAAACATAAACCCCGTGAGGAAAGTTGACCATTGAGCAGAGTTGATGGTTAATCCCTTGGGCCCACATGACAGGGGTGAGGAGTGAGCAACACCTCTAAATAATGAACTTTAAAGTTTTATAAGGAAAAGGACAGAAATTAAATGTCAAATTCCATCTAATGAATCATCAGCAAATGCAATACAAGAGATCACCTTGTTCTCCAGGAGATAGATGGATCCCAGACGAAGAAGAACTATGTGAGATTCTGATGGGGGTTCTGGAAACATCAGGCTGCATTTATAACTCTTCTGGGCTTCAGAAAAGACACCTTGCAGATAATGGCAGTGGCCGTTCAATGCCCAGGTGTCTGGGTCCTGTAGGAGTGTTGACTCAGTCAGGTGACTTTGGGACATTATTATAAAAGACAACATAAATGTAATCGAAGGAAAATAAAGTATTTGTGTGCTACTGTCAATAAACCTGATGTTGGAATAAAGGAAGTGCTTTTAGAACTGTGATTAGAAGATAGACGTACAGAATAGTAATGGAGGCTTAGCAGCAGGAAACAGTGACTGATCAGATATAAAAGGTCTAGAATTATTATGAACTGGACATATTTTACACGTTTGCACAAATTTATATCTCCAAAAAATATCAACAATTTTTCAGTGAGAACATTCTTTATTGTGGCTAAATATCTACTAGAAACCATCATATGTGTGATGGGAGGATGGCTAATAGATGGACGGTATGATGATGTGGTTCGTTTCTGTTTTTACGCTCAAGCAACCACAAAAATGTTATTAATACCTGCTTCATCCAGCAGGGGGCTTCATAGAGCTTCACATGATACAAGAAGGGATATGAGCAGCAGCCAATCACACCCCAGCACACATGCTGGTTTGTGTTCGGGAGAAGAGAAGCACTGAGATCATGTGACTTTACCTGATCTCTATAAAGCGTGGCCTTCTTCAGAGTGGTAGCAGCCTTGCAGGTGTCCCCTTTGAGCATCTGCAACTGGGCCAGATTATAGAGGTAGGAACCAGTGTGACCACCTTCAGAACACAGCAGCTCCTGGGCCAGAACTTGTTCTGCCATCTGTCAACAGTAAACCAGATGTCTACGACTGGTTCTCATTTGATTCAGTTCCACAGCTGAGAGTTTAAACCAAAACTAGATTCATCAATAATCCTTCATGAGGTCATTCTAATGTGTTCTCACTGACATCTAAAGGGTGTGTGATCGTTTACAGCCATGTGTGCTGAGTGCGTGTACCTGAAAGGCTCCGTTCTGCAGCAGGAACTGGACTGTGTGTGTATAAATGCTACAAGAGAGTTTAGATAGAGACGACATGGAGCTGTCATCTTCTGCTGAAGACTCTTGGTGCTCTTCTGTGTCTAAACACTCAAAGTCTGACACAAATAAACAACAAGGTTGGTAAAAGTGGGTCCTGTGTCTCCAGAGAGGACAAGATAAGAAAAATGCAAATGACATGTATTTACAAACATTAATGACCTCACAAAGCATTTTTATGCTGCACCTCACCTTAACTGTGTGGGACTGAGCTGTGACAGATGTCTCCCTCTCACCTTTCAGGGCCTTGTCCCTCTTAATGTTTTCGCTGCTGTCTTTCGTCTCTTCTTCTTTGTCTGTTTTGTTGTTGGCTTCTGTTTCCTCGAGCACCCGTTTGGCCTCCGCAAAAGCCCTCTCAGCCACAAAGGGTTCATTTAGTCTCTGGTGGAGCAAACCTGATCCAAAAAGGTCAAATGACAACATTTTTGACATGTTTCACTCCTGCTTCAGCTCATTGACATCTTATAACTAGACCCCAGTAGAACCTGTTGAGACCAAGACAAAACAAGCTTTCCCTAGTGGCTGGTTCCAGAACAAGTGTCAGCCACCTCTTCCTCTGTGTCCTTCTCCTTAATAAAACATAAAAAAACACCTGAGATCTTTTATGAGTGTTCATGTAGCGCTCATCTCGCTGCTAAATATTAGAATACTAAATTTTCTATGAAATTCCATTCATCCATTTTCTTTCGCTTATCTGGAGTTGGGTTGCAGGGTAAGGGGCCTAAGTCAAGAGGCCCAGACTTCCCTCTCTCCAGCCACTTGGGCCAGCTCTTCCAGGGAAATGCCAAGGCGTTCCCTGGCCAGCTGAAAAGCTTAGTCCCTCCAGCGTGTCCTGGGTCTTCCCTTGGGTCTCCTCCCAGTTGAATGTGCCCAGAAAAACTCACCATGGAGGCATCTAGATCTAGCCTTAAATAATTGTCCCGCCCCTACTTTGGCAGTTGTCCTCCTGTTACCTAGCAACTGCTAACGCACTAGTAGAAGCTGCAGAAATGGAGCTCGCACATGTTTAAAACGTTTTCCTTGTTTTGTTACTGTTTGAAGAGCTACAGCAGATGTACGCCGGTGTTCTGAGAAATTCTGTTCCCCTGAAATATGTTTCCCCTAATAACTTAGGCAAATAAAGAACAAATATTTCCAAATTCACAGGACTTCATGTCCATAACGGGACGACTAAACAACCTCAAGTAAAAGATGGTTAAACTGGGTGAGATTGCATTACTTTCAAAAATGATAAATAAACTTGCTGGAAAACAGTGAACAACAAAGTTTTACTGTACTTTTTACTGTTTTTAGGATGAAATATAAATAAAAAAACATCACAAGCATGACAATATTACATTACATAGTTTTACAGTAAAAGTCGATCACAAATGGTGTGAAGATTGCCGGAAGTGCGAGCTCCCGGCACGGGGAAACAAATCAGCCTGTCCTGCAGTTGCATCTCGGGATTTAGAGGTGAGGAGACTACACCGCACCTGTTCTCAAAATCAGGGAAAAGAAGAACGGAATTCCAGACCACATTCTGAGCACTTTTTGAATTTGGACAGTCTTCATCGCGGCGCTGTGACGTCTCATAGGCACGCAGGGCACGCACGCAACGCCTGAATTTGGACCACTCAGCCGCCAGCCAGCGTCTTCGTTCCGATTCATACCGCTGACGCTGCTGTGCAAAATCACGCATGCGCACACGTGCGATTGCGTCATAAACAAAGTTCTCTTGTCAGGGTCTGGCACATCCAAAGTCCTTCACTTTGGGATTCCCAAGAGAGACAGACGTATTTCTGACCGTCCACACAGCATTGCGTTATATTGTTTTTTTGAATTATTTCAATAACCAATAACCACCTGTTGAAAATGAGCTGTGAGGAATACAAACACCAGTCCAAAAAGATTCCGTTAAGGGGGGAAATTCTCCCCAGAGCCGTAACAAGGGTGAAACTAACCCACCTAAAAACAAGCGGCTCCAAAACAAGCAGCAGAGTTTATAAGCTCGTTTGCTTGAGGGCAAAGTTTCTGATTACTTGAATTAGGGATGCAGTGATACCACTTTTTTCCAAACCGATACGATACAGATACTTGGATCTGAGTACTCGCCGATACCTATTACCAATACCGATACTTCTACCACACAAAAAATGCAATGATTTGGAATACAGATTTTATTTTCTTCTCTGCTTTCAACAGGAAAAGACTGTGAGGTAGATAAAAAGTAAAATATATGAATGGAAATCATCACAAAACTTAGGTGAACAGGTGTAAAAATGCCTCCAGTGAGAGTCGGAGATCACATTCTGATGGAGCCAACAGGACCACATCATCTGCAAAAAGCAGAGACTCAATCCTTAGGCCACCAAAACGGATCCCCTCAACATCTTGGCTGCGCCTAGAAATCCTGTCCATAAAAGTTTTGAACAGAATCGGTGACAAAGGCAGCCTTGGAGGAGTACAAATCTCACTGGGAACGAGCCGACTTACTGCCGGCAATGCAGACCAAGCTCTGACATACAGGGACCTAACAGCCCGTATCAGAGGGCCCCTGGTACCCCATACTCCTGGAGTACACCCCACAGGGACCCCATGGGACGTGGTCAAACGCCTACTCCAACTCCAGAGGTGGAAAGTAACGAATTACATTTACTCACTTTACTGTAATTTAGTAGCTTTTTTGTATATTTATACTTTTTAAGTCATTTTTAAAAGCTGTACTTTTACTTTTACTCGAGTAAGTTTTTAAAAAAAGAATTGTAATTCGCTACATTTTAAATCATATCCGTTACTGAGTAAAAACAAATTATAGGCTTAACAAATTAAAAATATTACGTGTAGCAGCGTCGGAACAGAAAGAGACACCTGCATGAGCACCGCATCTAAACCGTGGGGGTGTGGGTGTACACTTCTACTCCAAAACATCAGCTCAGTCCTCGTGATCCACTCGCTGTTCACCTCCTCTCTCCCTCCTTTCCTCCTCTCCTGTGGGTTGGAACCCGCACCTTTGCGCACCGGTGTGACGTCATCACAATTCCACTCGGTTCGGTAGCCAGACTCGGTTCAGTGTTTGAAATGTGTTTCCCTACCGCTCCGCAAGGCTGCGGCAAAATAACGTTTAGCGCTCATAACAAGTGGATTCCCAGCGCTTTGCTCATAAAACAGAAGACCTGCAGGCCTCCGTGAGTTAAAACATCCTGATACTGTTCAGGTGTAAACATTGTGCTTCATCCCTGTGTTTGAACTCAGAAGATGCTCCTTGATGCCACAGATGATTTAGCTTGTTTCTTTCTTTTACTCCAGAATAAGAGATTAAATTATTACTAAAGCAGTTCAGTGTAGTTAAATTAGTCATGGCGTGTGTGTGTGTGTGTGTGTGTGTGTGTGTGTGTGTGTGTGTGTGTGTGTGTGTGCGCGCGCGCGCACAGGAGGGCCGTGGTGACCATGTATATTTTTCTTCATAAGAAGTCTATGGGCTGCTCTTTGTCTGATCCCTCACCTAGGACCTGTTTGCCATGGGTGACCCTACCAAAGGCATAAAGCCTCAGAACACTTAGCTCCTAGGATCATTGGGACACTCAAACCCCTCCACCACAGTAAGGTGGCAGCTCAGGGAGGGGGGTCTACGAAAGTCAGTTGTAATGATTTAACTGATGCTTGAAAACTTAAAGGTTCTTAGTGAGTTAGTGGGACTTTCAGCTGTTCTTCACCAACTGAGGAAAATGGAGGACAATTGTCATAGCATGATGTCACTTATGATGTGATGGTTGATATCAAACCTACAGACTGAAACACTGAGCTGCAGGATGCAGCCACACCTGCATCTGCACACCACACATCTTCATTAGTATTATTATATTTTACTTTAGCCTCTATCACATTGAAAAACAACAGATTATTTCTGGTTTGGACATGAGTGTTAGCAACAGCAATAAGGATAAACAAAGAGGAGTCTTTGATCCTCATCTCACCCAGAAGAGTCCAGGCCGACACACTGGGGGGGTCTATGCTGGTAGCTCGCTCCAGGAGGATCTGGGCATGTTTGTAACGCTCAGACATCACGGCCAAAACGCCACACATCATCAGACTAGACATAGAAGAGAAAATGCAGTGGATGGGCGTTCCGGTGGCAATGCAGATGAATACAGATTCACATTTACACCATAGCAAAGTAACTCTTCAGCTTTAAGTACAGATAAATCATTAAAAGGTGTGATGTTAATGAGACATAATCCATGACTAGCTAGAAGCCAAATGCAACACAGTGTAGATCATTTGTGTTTATAGTGCAATCAGGCATGGCCAAAGCATGGTTTGGCGACATTTTTTGGACTAAAGTAGAATGTGTTTTTTCCAGAAGGTTATTAATGTAGATTGACACTTTTAACATTTTCTGTTCGGATTTTCATTAATAGGAGCTAAAAAAAATTAAACCACCATTAAACAAATTCTGCATTTCCCAATCAAAACAATGACATTTGTGTGGTCTGCAGGAGTTTTGGCCCTTGTTGGTTTGGTCTCCCTGGTGAAGATGGAGCATGTCTAACCTGGGCTGGTGTGCTTGTTGGATGGACACAGCCTCATGGAAACACTCGTTGGCCTTCATGTGGTCACCGCTCAACATGTATAAGCTTCCCCACTCAAACATATACAAGGGTTCATCAGGGTTCCTCACTACCAACTACAGATAAACAAAATCCATATTTCATTAGTAATTTTAGCTCCTTTAGAAGCCATAGTGATAACAGATCCAGACACATGGTGAAATGGTCTAAGAATCATCTAAGATCCAAGTCCAGTGAGCTCACAGATGTTTATAACATCTAATCAGTGACAACATCTATACAGGAACATTTTGATAATTGTCTGCTTTTACTGGGCACAATTCATATAAGTTAATCTTTAAGTAAAATAGCATTAGAAATAATAGAAGTTCATCAAGTTCTTTCTTTTTGTACCTCTTGGTAGTACTTAGCTGCTTTCTGGTAATTCCCAAAAAGCTGTGCCTCTCTAGCAAAATGTCTAAGTTGTGAAGAATCTAAGGAGATTTCACTGCAGTCCTCATCAACGTCACTGGAATAAATCTGTAGCAGAGAAGAGTAAACATAAACAGAAACACATTAGATGTCCTTAAAATAAAACATATGCAGGAACTTCTATTTGTTACCTTGTTTAAAGCTGCATGCATCTCACCCACCAGCTCCACGTAGAGCCTGCTGGTGAATGTCTGTAGCTCCTGAGGGTTAGTGATGGGATCCACCTGCTGCATCTTGTCACGTACAACCCCCACCACAGCATGCTGCAAACCAAAATCACACACATTTAATACGTTCTGATAGAGGTGGAACCATTACCAGAGTAAAATAACATTTTTAAAGCTATAGCATCCTTAGAAATCCTTAGTTGATCCCTGCAGGATTTTATTCTGACCTTCATCTGCTCTTTGAAATGGAAATATCTCCCAGAGAGATTGAGGCCTCCCATCAGCTCCACCAGCATTTGCTCTTGGCTAAGGCCGTGTGACAGATTGGGATTTGCTCCAAACATCTCCTGATACTGCTCTGAAACAGCAGCTACCGTGTTGCCCACCTGTTGGTGAAAGTCTAGCACTGCCTGTACACACACACGCACGCGCGCGCACAGACACACACACACATGCACGCACACACACACACACACACACGCACACACACACACACATGCACACACACACACACACACACACACACACACACACACACACAAATGTGTGGATAAATCAAAAAGCTGCTCTCCCTGATTGCACATTCCAGTCTGTTTGTGTTTATTTACTCGTTCTGCTCCACTAGGACCTGGAGGCTGAGGTCTGGGTGGGATCAGTGCCTGCAACCTGCAGGAAATAGAAACACAAAAACATTACCCTACTTCCTCTCATCTCCACAAACATATCAGCACAGTTCTGGTAACGCCGGATAACATCAGAAACAGAGACAGACAGATTTCTGTAGCACAATACCTTCTGGCTAGCTCCTCTGGAGATGGTTTTGGTACCAGCGGTTTCTCCAAGACTATTTCAACAATAATATAGGTTCTGGCCTCCGTGTACGTCTGCCTCAAACAGAAGTATGTTTTAGTCTCGTATCCTGGCTGCTCCTTTTACAGCTGCATGTAGTTATTACACTTTAGCTGTTATGGTGTCTTGTGTCAGCGTTTGTGTTGCTGTTCAGTGGGAGCTTACATTTCCTTCTGCGGTGACTGGTACAGCAGCAGCCAGGATTTCTAACACATCTTCAGATTGAGCTGCCCTTAACTTAAGAGCTTTCTGGTGGATGAACAACTGATCATATTAGACTCCAGCTTCTACCACAAAATCATTTTTATTGTTAGTTATTGAAAAACACAAGGTCACAAACAAGCTGTATGATCTTGGTCTTTGATCTGATGACATGATTCTAATATGAAGAATAACCACTGACCCTGACTATTGCAGCCGTTCTGGTCCTTTTAGGTGAATCATTTTGGTTCCTCCGTATTTGTTTCTGGAATCCAGCAGCCAATATGCTGCGGGCTTTTGCCTGGAAGGCTGCGATCTTAGCCTGCTCCTTTAACACACTGACTGTCTGTTTGGACTGTGAGGGATCAGAGCAATGCCTGATCAACACTTTAACAGAGATGAATCATTTAATGTTCATTTAGCTCATGTTTTATTTTGATAAGACCTGGCAAACAATAAGGGAAAACATTCTGCAGATTTTGTCACTGAACTTAAATTTACAAGGATGTGTGAACCCGTTTGACCTTGATGAACAGCTCAGACTCAGAGAAGGGCTCAACATGGTACGCTCCTCTGATGCGCCTGACTCCTGGAACCAACAGATGCCCCAGGTCCACAAACGCCAAACCGTGGAAGGAGACCTCCGGGTTGTCAACATTAAGCTACACACAGACACACACACACACACACACACACACACACTGAGTGAGACGGCTGACACAACAGAACCAAGAGGAGGCTAAAAACACTCAAACCTTCTTCGGTAGGTCCGATGATCGCATAATCTCCACAGGCAACAGTCTGCTCTCAGTGATCTTCTGTTGCAGCCTGAAATGATGGTCAACAGTGTGTGTTAAGAGTTAATCCTCATTTCTTCATTTATTCTGTCGCTTTAAAGGGTTTTTGATTTTAAAATCATTATCAGTCAAGTCCTTGAAGCTGATCGTTTTCAAATAAATTATTTTTTGTGAGCTAAGTTCCACTGATCAAAGAATGGTTTTAGACTAAAAAGGGATTTCAGCACAAGAGAAAAAAAAAAGACTGTTTAACTTTTCTGCCACAGTTCTTGTAACATCTTGGTGGCAGCAGTAGCTCAGGAGGTAGAGCGGACTCACTCATGATCAGAGGATTGCGGGACCAATCCCAGCTCCCGCCAGAGTACTCTGCTGTTGTTTTTTTGGGCAAGACACTTCACCCAACTTGTCTATGTTGGTAGTGGGCAAATGGCAGCCTCGCCTCAAATTTGAGAGTGCATGAATAATAATAATGGAAGTGCTTTGAGTGCCTAGAAAAGTAATAAATAAATCCAATCCATTATTATTATTAAGAGAAACCTAGGCACAAAATTCAGTATAAATGAATGTTAAACTTTAATTTGCAATGCTGATAAACTATGTTAAAGTCAAAATGTTACAAAAATGTGTGCATGTGTCCTCTCAGGGGACGGATGATTGGATTTCACTTTGCAGACTCATCAAAGACACCAGAGGATGTGACGACCAGAGGAGGAAGTGTGTGTGCAGCTAACCTGGAAGATGCTCCTGCATCCAGAAAGCAGCACGTCTCCGTGTCCCAGCTCACCCTGTCCTTCATCGTTTCTGCCTCTTTACGAAAAGGCCGGTCCTGCAGGAACATTCATAAATAATTCTGTTTCTATAATCCTCAGAAGGAACAGGTGTACGTTTCTATAATTAGTCTCTATGTTGGCATGTTGCCACAACCACCTAAGGTATCAGTAAAGTGATAGAAAGTACCTCTAGAGCAGTTAACTCCCCGTCCTCTTGTTTGATGGGCTCTGGCAGAAAAAATCTTCCGGGGAAAAAGTGGTTCAGTGGTTCTAACTCAGCCTGATGTGGTCTCTTCTTCTGGCGACCCTTGACCTCTCTCTGTCCCCCCGCCTTCAGCTGTCCTCCACAGAACATCAACACCTGATCTTTCTATTGCACGCAAAAGAAGAATTACAGTTTTAACACGAAGAGTTTCAGATTTGAATTTTTTATTCCCAGAGGGCAGCAAATAATAGAATAGAATAGAATTAAAAGCTTTTATTGTGATTGCAACAACAAACAAGAAGATTTGTGGGTAATGAGCTCCAAAGAGGGGACTCATCTTAAACCTCACCTCTGCACTCAGAGGGACCTCTATGGCAGCGGTGTATGTGTAGGGGCTGGGGGCGGAGCCTGATGGCAATGCCCATGCCTCAGGGACAGAATAGGCTGTTTCCACGGTTACCCTCAGAAGGTTAGAGGCTGCAAGTTCAGCCTCAGACAGCAGGGGATTTAGAACACTGACATAGACATCCAGGGTTGGTTGCTGAGTGATCAAATAATAAAGAACATTCACATTTTAATTTAAAATAATTTCACGGGATTTTAAGCTCATTTAAACTTTTATATAAGTATAAACTTTAAAGCTGTTATAGCAAATCTGTAAACAAGCAAGGTTTTGAATGCAAACTTGGTCATAGAACACTCTTCTCTCAGATGCTTCTGATAGATATATAAATATGTATATATATATATATATATATATATATATATATATATATATATATATATATATATATGGTATGAGCCAGTCCTCACTGTCTCGACTTCAGCGGGTGCAAAATGCCACTGCTCGACTTTTAACTGGTACAGGGAGGAGCAGGGGTGGACTGGGACCAAAATCTGGCCCTGGAATTTTTACGAAATGTCGGCCCTCCCCATTGGGAGAGCAGTGGGGGTGGGGGGTGTTGCTGCCCGCTGACTCGTCTCTAGGCCAAATGTGAGATCTAATATGGACTGGGACTGTTAAATTACATGCAGGGCCAGACCGCTGTGACCGGGAACCCTGGCCTTCCAGATCAGCTCAGTCTCCACGGGCGGAGATCAGCGGGACATTAGCTACATGCTAACGCGGTAAAACAACTCTTACGTCATCGCTCTACCGCGTTTTTCTTGCTAAAAACGCCTGGAAAAATTCTGTTAACTTCAGGTTACCATGTAGCTAATGTTCTGCAAATCACCAACTATGGAGTCGTGTTGGCCCAAGCTGGGCAAGCAGCCCACTTGGCTAAGCGGCCCACTGGGACAGTGCCAGAATGCCAGATAGGCCAGTCCACCACTCCTGTTTTATCTTCACTGCAATGGCTGCCTGTCCATTTTAGAGTTCATTTTAAAATTCTTTTATTTGTTTTTAAGTCTTTAAACGGTCTTGCCCCACCCTACCTCTCTGAGCTACTGCACATTCACTCCTCCTCTCGGTTGCTCAGGTCATCTGACCAGTTGCTTCTGGACGTTCCAAAGACACAGCGTAAGCTCAGAGGGGATAGGGCCTTCGCTGTTGCTGCTACCAGACTATGGAACTCTTTGCCGGCACATATTAGAAAGGCCTCCTCACAGAAAACTTAAAAATCATCTTTAAAGACCCACCTTTTTAGCTTGGCTTTCAACACCGTATGTAGTTTTGGACTTCTTTTTTGATTTTAGTGTTTTATTATAGTGTGCTTTTAACTTATTTATTATTATTTATGTATTTTATTCTGTTTTATGCTTTTATGTTTTTATGTTCAGCTCTTTGGTCAGTAAGGGCTGTTTTTAAAGTGCTTTATAAATAAAGTTGGCTTGACATGTATATATATATATATATATATAAAACTGTGCTTTAACCCTTTGATGCATAATGGTCACTAAAGTGGACAGGTACTCAAAATTGTTATGTATTTGTTTTTGCTATTAAGCATAGCTGTTGAAGACTTTATTGCATTTGAGCCCCTCCATTTGGACTTCAGTAAGCCAAGCCAACATATTTCAAGCTCAGAATGCACGCTGCCCACTGAAGTGGACATGTAATAAATTATTTGTAAATTATAAAATTTTCCAGAAAATATTTGTTGAAATTTGTTTCATTCACACCTAAAGACGAATGAAAAAAAAAGTTAAAAAAATCATGGTTGAAGATTTCATAATTCATGCATCAAAGGGTTAACTACTCTACACCCTTTAAGTTCAATGATTGTGTTGACTTCCCTGACTCACTCGTGTCAAATATATTATGTGACTCTCATGTTTACATTGTTAATTTTCATTTTCCTGTGAGGTTACAGCATGAGCAGCTTCACTCTAAGATTAACAAAACATTTATTTTTGATTCTGATTGAGGCCTCTATACCTACCATGAATGTTCTGTTATAGAAGTCCTTCTAACTAACCTTCAGAGCAAAGCCTTGCTGAGATTCCTTGAGTCCCGGGCTGTTGACAGGAATGACCGGCACTGTGGAGGAAAAGCTGCACCGACCTGAAGACAAACAGAAAATCATTTCAGTAGAGAATCTCTTTAATAATCCATTTCTGATCCCTTGTTGCACACATTTGTTTTTTGGGAAGATTAACTTAAGCTGACCACAGCAGAAAAAATGGTCAGATCTCATGGGAACAGCTGTACCTTGTAGAAGTGGCAGCAGGTCAACCACAGCTTGGCCCAGTGCCAAAAATGTTGCCTCACTTTTCTTGGTCTCGGTTAGCACCTCCATCACAGTGACTGGTCAATAAAAAAATACATTATTATTATTATTATTACTATTATTTTTTTTTTAGCAACAACCATTTAGCAGTGTCATGATAAACCTCTAAGCTTCCTTTTGTTTTTGTTTATCAGGAAGTAAACCTGTGAAGCTATTATTTATGGAAATAATTTAAGTTTTAAGTAACCAATGCTTGTTTATCATGTAGAACCAGGGCCAGATTAACACTTTGTTGTACCCTGGGCAACAATGTCCAAGGGCCCCATCATCACGACCCAAGAATCACTATAATATGGTCACATACAGAATATTTTACTGTAATATGCAGTAAATATACTCAATACTTGAATGCCTGACATCACATAACCCACTCTGGATAACCTTTGACCCACCTTGTGTAGACTGACCAATGAGGAGAGGGTCTTAACTTGAGGCCCTCTCTTCATTGGTCAGTCTGCATGAGACTGACTCTCAACTGACGTTCAAAGTCATAGGCAGCGAAGCGTCTCTGTGCAGCGCAAAAGCTCGGGTGGACAGTTTGTTTAATATAGGGTGACCATATTTCCATTTCCAAACAAGAGGACAGGGGATCTGTGCCTATGACATCACACTATGGCAACGCCACACAAACCACGTTGGGACCCATTTTTTGTAAGAACTAAATTAATATCAGATTCTGCCAATAAAAGGGCTCTAAAACAATAAATACTTAGCATATTTACTGCAAAATCTCATTTTTCTGCTTTAGTGCTGCAACAAGGTTTTGTTAATAATAAATTATTATACCTTTTGTTTTACTACAGCATCGGTACGCTTCCTGTGAACAGATTATTAAGGATGCTTGTTTCAGCTGTGAGATTAGATGATAGGATCAATGAAAAAATAAGTTGTCACACACTCCATGGAAACTTTCAGAGAATCCACAAATAGTGGCTTTCAAATGGTTTTGTTACTTTTTGCAAGTTTAGAAAAGAAGTAGATGAGACAGCATGTCTGATAATTTAGTTTTTCATCTGATAATATTAGAACATGTCAGTAATGTCTGAGGGGCTTTTACAAACACTGTATAACTAATACTCCTGGAGAGGGTATGAATTACACAGAGACTTCTGGGGAGCCCAGTTATGAGGTGGTGGTGGTGGTGTGTGTGTGTGTGTGTGGGGGGGGGGGGGGTGTCATTTTACCTTGGCCCCCAAAATGTCTTGAAAAGGCCCTGGGTGTGTGACTGAGTGTTGAAGGTGATCTGAATTGTATCAGATGTATAAGTATTACATGTGTGTAACTTATTGTTTTATACAGGTAAACACGTGTAGTGGAGATAAATCTACCTACATTTTACTTTTTGTTTTGTTTTCTTGTTTTTATTTCCTGTCCTGTCTGTCTCTCATCTTCCTGCATCTCCTCTAAACTCTCCAGAAAATCTGCTGCCTGGATTCTTACTTTTTCACCTCATCAGTTACTTCTGAGCAGACCAAAGGGAATGTGTTGCAACCCTGACCGCAAAGCGGAGAGCGTGTTTCGATGCTGAGTGAGGTGAAATCACCGCAATACAGGTGATGAGCTCCGCAGTAGCAGAGCGCTTCAAGCACAAATAAGACAGAAAGTAGAGAACATGTGCGCACATGAACGATCGTGTGCTAATTATAGGTTTTTGGTTGCGCCACTTTGAAAATGGACTGTGCGCTAGATGCAGCAGCCTGGAGCGTTGCGCACTCTGTGCTCTCTGCTCAGAAGAGTCCATGAATGATGTAATATAGGTAGAAAACTTTTTTCCGGCTCCCCTGGATGTGTAGGATGTACAGCTCCCCCATAATTCGATCCCTGCTCCTGGATGAAAAGCCGGACATTTTCATCAATACAAGAACCCCCAGTCCGGACGCCCGGACAGAGAGTGAAAAGTGGACATGTCCGGGGAAAACGGGACGTATGGTCACCCTAGTCCTCATAAAGCGGGAGATTACAGATACAGTATTTTGCTCGTGCCCTGGGCCCTTTAGAGTTTGTGGGCCCTGGGCAATTGCCCAGTTGCCCATATGGTTAATCCGGCCTTGTGTAGAACAGGTGAAACACGAATACCACAGGCCTCTCTATGCACACGATTAGTAACTCCAGAGGTGTCAAGTAGACAAAATCAGTTGAGTGTGACTTTTGCAGAAGTTGTCTGTGTGTGACGTAGAAAAGCCTCGTTATACATACAGAATTAAACTATAAATGACTTTATGATGTAGGTGGCACACACACACACACACACACACACACACACACACACAGAGCTTACATATGACTGGCTTTTGGGCGATGTTGTTAAGAGTCTGAGTGTCATTAGGTGGACTGAAGCTGCAGGTGAAGTTGTAATCAACACGTTGCTCCAAAATGTCGATCTGCTTCTTCTCTGACTTTCCCAGAATCTTTTCATCCATCGTTACCTGGAGCCAACTCTGCAGATGTTCTGTCTTCTTTCCTTCCTGAGAAGATATATAAAGCAACTGGTAACCGTAGATAGAACTCTATTTTCTCTCTAGCTGTTTATTTAAAATGAAAAAATACCACATTAAAAGTACGTTTTTGTTTCTAATATGAATTTATTGCTGATTAAAAGGTGCTATAGGCTAACGTTAGATAAGTCACTACTTTATTGCATGTTTTCACGAGCTTACCAAGTTGTTTCCACATAGAACCGTTATTTGTATATCCAGATTTGTTTCTGTCGTATTTTCAAATGCCTCCATTGTGACTTTATGTAATCAAAGAGCGTTTGCGAGCTAATGTTCTACAGTACAGTTACCGTGTTTAACCGATGGTTTAACCACAATTAGGGTTCCCCTGGCAACCGGGTCTGGTGCGTTCAAAGATCCTCGGAAAATGGCAGTTGGATCAAAACAAACAGGGAATCTCTGCCAACCAGCTTTTTAAATACACATCATGGACTAAGTTTGATTTGTTTGTTGTTTTTTGTTTGTTCAGTTTGCTATTTTATGTCTCCCCGCCCCAAACAAGTGCTTTATGATGAACGAAGACAATTTGCCAAAAGGAAGATGTAACGGCATGTCTTGGACACTGCTTCAGCTGGATGTCTTTTGCCATCTGGTGGCAATTTATTGGCATTACAACAATCCAAACAAAATAGTTTCCGATGGTTTAGCTACACAATTTTCTTTTAGTCATAATCTAATTATGCAAAGCACAATAAAATATTTTATTCAATTAATTGCTGACTTTAAGAAGCGAGAATGATCTCAAAAGACACATCTTTGGGGTTATTTAGTGTCATTACAAATTCCCATCCAAGCTTTTGGGGAAATCCAGTGAACCGTTGCAGTCGACACAAAAACAGCTATTTAATGTTATATAGATATTACGAAAACAAAATATACAAAATACAGCATTTGTTTAAAAGTACAAATCACTCTTATTTATATAGCATTGTTTTTAGAATAGACAACATGATGTGCTCACATCAGCAGCAGAATTTTGGACAGTTTGCAGCTGAGCAGTCATAGCCTGGCCGAGTCAAGCATTAGGCACTTTAAAACAGTCCAATCTGGAGGCAATAAAAACGTGGATTACAGTCTCCAGATGCACTTGTGTGCTCAGATGTTTATGGATTCCTTTATCCATCAAATATGTTGCTTTCTCTCCCTATGACTGCAGACCATCACGTGGAGCTCCTGTCTGTAATGCTTCGTTAGGGCTGATTTCAGAGTTTCCTTGTCAGCCAAATGTGGGAATGCTCGTGGACATGACAACTCCACACGCCACTCCCATATGATGCACACCACGCATAAGCCACGTCATCCATCCAGCAGATGACAGCCAATGAAGAAGGTCTCAGTGAGGAGCTGAAACTGTTGGCAGGAAAAAAAGAAAGTGCCATCTATTCTCTTGCTAATTCTGTCTATTAGGAGAAAAAATACACTATCTACTGAGGTCCAGTGAACTTCATCTCCATCATGAATCATGTCTTTTACCACTCCTTTTTGGAGTTTGGGTTCAAAGTCTATTAAAATAAGTGGTAAGGGTGCTGCTTCTATCTCTTTTCAACATTGTTGTTCTAGGGATCTGTCAGCTTTTGGTGACTTATGATTTTTGAGGAATGCGCTCGTGATGTTAGCATGTCCTGCAAGAGCGAGACATCGTGCAGTTTGGCTCACTGAAATCTCAGACTGTGTGCCACCCCTCTAGAGTCCTCACAGTGTGAGGTTACAGCCGAAAAACGCAGTGTGGTCCGGGCTTCAAGTCATGACACTACCTGTTCCAGCTTAGTGGCACTAGTTGTAAAGACTGAAATGTTGCTGGAGAAGGCAGCAGAATTGATCGGACCAAAACCTAATTTATACTTCTCGGTCTGCATCGGGACGGAGACACGCAACGCCATTATGCGTCGACACAAGAGCCCTCAGACTGGCTCGCAAAGGGTGATGGAGACATGGCCCAAATTTTTAACTATCTGTCGAAAGAGATGGAAACAACAGGCTTGTTATTGGTCAGGACGCTGCTTTCTGTAAATTTGTCAGCAGCACTGTTTTTGCCCTGTAAAAAAGTAAATAGATATTTCGCGGCAGACACGGAACAGATTGAAAAACTCACCGCGGAATAATTCTGAAAATAACTGTTTGATCACCCGTGACTGAAGGAGTACAAAGACATGCAGCAAGCGTTTTATTTGGGGTCAGAAAAGATGATAAACGTGAGTTTAGAGGTGCTGATCACATGAAGAGGGGAATGAGGGACAAATTTGTCCATATTAAAAAGTCTCTGAAATACATTTAAACAATGTAAACACAATAGTAAATGCAATATTGTGGACCAAATACGTGACTGTAACAGTGGCAGGTTGCCTCAGAATAGCGCTATGCCCTCTGTTGTCTTGGTGGGGAATTGCTTTGCAACAATCCTGAGAGCTAAATGCCTGTCAATGCGTGTGCGTCTCTCCCTCTCAGAGCTTACTGTGATGTATAAATTAGGCTAAAGAAATCATGGCCCTTGTTTCCACTTCTTTAACAAAAAAATGGAGGACATTATTAAAACTCACATCATGTTCGTTTAACAGCACTGTGTTAACGAGGACGCACTGATTTCAGGAGTTTCACCCAACAATGTCAGTAAAGAAATTGACCCTACTGCCCTTTGGTAGATTGGAATACATCGTTCCTGTTTTGGCCTCTTTCCACTGGCTTCCAGTTCAATTTTGGATTGATTTTAAATGATTGACTTTTGTTTTTAAAATGTTAAACAAACCGGGACCGTCCTGTTTGACCAAGCACATCCATCACTACAAACCAGTAAGAGTCCTCAGGTCAAAACCATGGAAGTCCGCCAGTCGATGTCAGAAATGCATCGGATTTGACTGCTTTTAAGTCACTTTTAAAACATACCTCTGTTTCTTGGCTTTTAAAGTGTGACACTGTTCCTGTATTTTAACATTTTTATGTTTATTTTATTCTACATTTATTCTTGTCATTTACTTGTCTACATTGGTTCATCATCAAACAGCTCAAATAATGTTTAAAGCTAGTAAGCACTTATTGCCACCTAATATTCAAAAGCTCTTCAACCAGAGTGATGAGGGATATCATTTACGGAGGACTAAAAATTTTAAAATGCCTAGGGTAAGAACCACTAAAAGGAGTTTCTGTGTATCAGTATGTGGTGTGAAACTGTGGAATGGGCTGCAGGAAATACACACAGTGTCCAAATAAACAAATTTACATCACTGTATAAAAAAAATGATAATTAATGCATATGAAAATGAGGTTCTCTGAGGTTATGGAAACTATGATATTGTCATTATTATTTTGCTGTTGTTTGTTATTGTCATTGTTATTATTATTACTATCACTAGTACCATAAAATGTTAATGCAAAATGCTCTCATTAGTAGCTGCATATATATATTAATATGTATGTACGTATGTATGTATGTATGTATGTATATATCAAGCCCCCACAATGCGGGTGAAAAATTGAAGCAAACGCGGAAAGAAATTGCAGTTCCACCCTCGTCCGCTGGGGGCTGGTGTCAGAAGCGAGCAAATCCTCATTGACTCCCATGTTAAAAATACCAATTTCAAAGCAGAAATAAACATGTTTGCAGCCTGGTACCAAAACATGTTTTTGGTTTAAATGATCTAGTTTACACTCATGACAACTCTGAGGGGGGTGAATTTTTTTCTCACTCTTCTGTTTAAGTGTATTAAAAGCCTAAAATTCTGTATAATTAATGAGCATCAGACCCACGTGACCGCCGCCTCAGACCCACGTGACCACAGAGCTAGCTCTGTGGAAAGGCCTCAGTCTGAGCCTCGGCCTTGCCTGAAAACTGTTCGGTCATTTTCAGTCTCTCAACTTAGACCATTAGTTGTAGCGTTTGTGTATTCTTTTTTGGATATTTTTTGTTTAATTGTTGGACAAAATGACTTGCTGTGGTATTTATTGCACTAATAGAGCGTCCAAGGAGTCTCCACTTAATTTTCTTCGGTAAGTAAAAATACATAAATATAATTTAGGTCACTGCCGAGCTGAGCTTAGATTTTAACATGTACTGTTTAACCATGAAATTTAAATGTAATAGGGTAAAACCCTAACATTTAACATAATGCTGCACTTTAGAAAATGGGTTGAAATATAACATGTTGGTGGAGCTGGGTTCCGACTATCGGCTTGTGGAGCTCTCGGGAGACCTGTTTTCCACCCGTTTCTCCCCTCCCCGCAGCTCGGCGCATCTCTGTCTGATCGCTGCGCTTGTCTGCTGCGTGGGCTGCCGGCTATGGAACTAGAGTATAGCCGGCTTTCAGTAGCTTTCAGGAGACCTCTGTGTTCCACCCGGTTATACCCAGTGGTCAGCCCGTCGTATCTCTGGCTCAGAAGCTCTGGTGTTGTGCACAGTTAACTCCGGTTGTAGCTAGGTTGCTACCTCCGTTAGCTTAGCTCCCACTTCCGCATTAGCTTTGGGTTAGCTTCAGGTTAGCTTATAGCTAGTTTGACCGGGTGTCATCAGTTGATCCCAGCCTTACAGCCCCACCCTCAGCTCCATCTCTCTTCCCTGTTGTGGAATTGTCTGGGCTTGACGGAACCTGTGACACGGTCAAAATGACGGTGGTGGCCACCTCCCATTTTTCTTCAAAAACATGTTATTGGAGCCTATGGAAACCCATTGTCCAGTATTTATATGTCGATGGTATATATGTATGTATGCATGTAGGTATAGATGGTAACTTGTAAATTAGTAATGTGAGACAAGGGGGTGGGATTGAATAAGCACTTGCTTCTTCTTAGTCCCTTTGGGCAAAGACTTTTTTTTATTGGTATATCTTTTCTTTTCTACTATGTTCATAGATTTTTTTAAAACATTTTGTCTTATGTTCAAATGAACGTTTCAATCAATCAAATCAAATACATTGGCTACTCTGTTATTTCCCGCTCTGTCCTTGCCAGTTTGTTCTTTTTTGATGCATTTTTATCTCTGTTAAAGGCACACTTGGCACTTTTGCTTGCTTTTAGCACCCCCTAGTGTCCATTTAATTCTTTGCAGTCAAACTGAAAGTAAAACGTTTCTCCTCGCTATTTGTTAGTCTCTTTAACACTATTTTAACAGCTAAAATGTCTCCTCAGCCTTCCTTAGTTTCTAGAGGAGAATCCCATCACTAAATAAAACTAATTAGCTGTGTTCATGATCTAAAACATGCTGAAAACCAGCTGAAAGCAGACTGCAGCGCCAGGTATGCAAGCATCATTTTTTTTCCTAACAGGGATCGAATCGGCACTCTGAAGTTTCAAACTGCATTCTGACCACAGAGGGCAGTGGGGGGTCTAAGGGACTTTTCATTAACAATGTAAATGGTCACTTTAGCACATAATGGCTCAAGGAAATTATTTAAAAATATGAAAAAGTTGCTAAGTATCCCTTTAAGCACTTGGGTTAACAAGCCATTTTAAAGTGCTATATAAATAAACTTGGCTTCACAAACAAGTGAACCTTGAAAATCTCAATCTGCTACAACTCTTCATTCCACCTTCTTCCCTTCCTAATGGCTCGAATGTCTTCTGTCAGCCAATTGGCTCAGTCCTAAGTTTTGGTTTCCTGATGGGCATTGGCACAATCACATTCTATATAGATTCAAGTTAAATGAAAATGCAGGGCAAGTTTCTCAGAGCCGAGAGGTACAGGGCACACATTATATGCATCTACAGAAAAAAGGAGCCCCAAATACAGCACCACCTAGCGAGAACATTGTTTATGACAGGCTGACGAGAAGTAAAAACACAAGCATATAATCCAAATAATTTACATCCTCCATTCTAATTAAAACCAGACAATTCAGGGATGCCACCTCAGTCCAGCCCTATTCCCGCTCTTCATTGAGCCTCTGGCTCTCAGGGAATCTAAGGACATCACAGACATAAAGATTAAATAGTGCACAAAATAGGTTTGTATGCTTGTATGTTTATTGCTTGTATATTTGTTTATTTTCTAACATAAAACTACCAATAAAACGTGTGGAGATTAAAAAATAATTTAAATAATAGCAGCATATCCAAGATGTCCTCACATTTCTGCATGGTCCCAAGCCCCGACACTGAAAGAAAAAATAAAAACTAAAAACAGCTGTCAATGCATGTGTGCCCATCATTCACATTTATATGAAATAAATGGTACTGATGAAAACAATTGTTTACAAATGCACACATCTGTTGGTGGGTACAATATGGCCTTGTATTTGCAGCTGACGACCAACCCCATCACACTTCCACAGGGCCAGCTGGTTAGACTGAGAACAGTCACTCACGAGCCCCTGGAGGATCACGGTGCACTGAGCATCTTACCAACTCAAGAGGGCAGAGTGTGGAGTTCAGCTTCACAAATGATGCAAAGTGACACTAAACCAGTGATGCATTCAGTGATGCATTACAAATTAAAAGTTTACATCAAGTATTGATGCCAACATCGCCTTGCACAGACTGCAATGCTCCAACATACAGAGTGATATGATTGGTCACAGGAATAAATGACAGATTGAGAACAGAAGGATGCATTCAGGTCTTTATTCATAAGATGGGATTTTTTAACATCTTATGCACAGCAGATACAAAGACAAACATGTTCTAAACCACAAACTAAAGTTCTTCATCAGTCTAATCCTGCTACCCTTTTAACCCCCCCCCCCCTTCCCTAAAAGAAATCCTCAACATTTGTAGTTCAGCTTCACATTCTGAAAGATTGCTGTACAATCTCATTTTAGCAGAATGACACAAGCCAAGTTCAAAAAACCTCTTGACATACCAGCTTATACCAGCTTCCCCTTTGCACTCTTTAGAACTACTTCAACAGGATTATAGGATCAAAAATGAACACCAAACACAAGCGACGACTAAACATCCAACTTATATAGGTTCATTATTCAGTTGCACAAAAATGCATAAATATACATTACGCAAGAAGTACAAATAATCTTTACTTTTCTTTGCTCAAATAAGGACAGACACTGATATGAGACCTGGGATTGTCCAAACGTAGGGATGCATTCACAAGGTCCATGCGAGATAAGCCATTTACACAACAGCCTAGCTTACAGAGGTAAGACCAATATTCTACAGGAAAAAACAAAGCATTTCGCTGTCTAAAGTCAAAAGGCAACACAAACACTAAGTAAATGAGGATACACAGAAATCTGCGCTATAAAGTCATGCCAAAAAGACTTTAACATGCAAAGATTTAACGCGTCTAAACCTCCCAGGAGCAGCAGTAACCAATGGAAGAATTAGCTCAACAGTAACTTCATCAGGTTTCCTCAGTAGGATCCGTGGAGTCTGAATAGGTTTTGCATTAGATTTTTTTTAAGTGCTAATGGTACCGCAATAGTTGCCATAGATGAATTCAGATTGTCAACAGCAAGATGGTTAACTCCAACTCCTCCCCACAAACAGTTGGAAGATGATAAATACTGTTTTTAATAATGCACATCTGTCCATTAAATAAACTTGATTAAATTAAATTTAGAGCTTGTTAAACCTCACTTCAGCTTGATAAAGGTGTGGTTTCCAGAGGCCTGAAAGGAACAGAGGAAACAAGAGTTAGTATACATGTATACGTCGACAATAAGGATCATGTTACTATAAACGGCCTCTTTCACACAAACAAATCTAGGAAACTTTAAAACTGATAACTTAGTTCAATCAAAAAACATTTTAACCAAAATTTCAAAAGGTGATTTACTTACATTTGATGCATTAGAACATTTACAGCAGTACAAGTCAGCTCAGTGAACCTTTTGTTTTTAGAATCATGACAGACTAACAGTAACTAGAGAGATCACACTAATCAATTATTCATTAGATACAAAATACTGAAATTTCCTGACTTGGTAGAGTGGAAAATATTGCAAATAATGTACAGAGCGAATACGAGTAATCTACCAACTAATATTCAGAAAATGTTTCATAAGAGTGTAAGTGGGTACATGTTAAAAGGAACTGATGTCTTTAAGAAACCTAGATTCAGAACCAAAGTGAGGGAGTGTAACATTTCCGTAAATGGTGTAAGATTGTGGAATGCCGTTAACAAGGAATTTAAAGAGTCAACTTCACTTGCTATATTTAAAAAATGTATAAAATCTAATGTATTTAGTAATTATGAAAAGGTGAATTATAATGTCAAAGATTAGACATGAAAATATTAGAAAGTGACTGAGGTTGTACTGTGTTTGACGGATAATTTTATTTTGTAATAAGGGGCAGAAATTATAAGATTTTTTCTTCTATCTGCTCCTTTTCATTCAAATGTTTCTTTTTCAATATGTTAATGCATGTTGTATTTGTGTTTATTTTATACATTTTGAATGAAATAAAAGATTAAAATAAAAAACAGAAATGCTCCAACACCACCAAACTAAATGTGGCAGATGAAAAGTTCATGCCAAGTTTGAACGATACTACCAACTTTCCATGTCCATAGTTTAAATGCTGATAACGACATGCATTTTGAAAATAACCCTGTTATCAATAAGAATGTTAAGTAGTTTCCAGACAAACAGAACAGAGCATGAAATGTTATCTGCATACATGGACAATGGCACATGCTTCTGTTCTGAGAAACTGGCCGTTTGCACAACATCTGCCTGATTTGGACATTTAAGATCCGACAAACTCCAGGTAGTTCCTTAAATTTTTCAACCATTACTGAAGGCAGCCCTCCAGAGAGCTTCACACATGCAGGTGTGATGAAATGTTGGTTCAAAAGTGAAACTATGGCCACAGCAACTGGCCTCAACCTTAACTTTAGTGTTGATGTTTTTTCCCCAGATTGTTCACCTAGACTGCACGTCCTGGCACTGGGAGACTGCTGCTGTAAATACTTTCATGCACCAAATGGCAAATACTAAAATCCCACAAAACATTAGGATTGAATGTATTTGCCCAACACTCAGATGTTTCACAAAATGATTAAACAGGAAATTTTGCACATTTATAAACATGTTAGTGTTGCAATGTGGGTTCTAGTTTGCAAAGCTTCAGGTGTTTGAAGGATCGAGGGGTCTGACAAAGCAAACAAGAAAAACTGACAAAAGGTTACTCACTAAATATCTAACAAAACTGCCGGGACTTCCATCCAGGCTGGGAAGTCTCCGAGGGAGTGGGATACCAGCGCATCTAAAGAAACACAAACAGTCATGTTCACCAGACCAAAGCTGGGCTTCACAGCATCGCTCCTCAGTGCTGCAGGTTTCATCCATTTATTGTACTGGACTTTGCCAGGCACATTTAGGAGGACTGTCCCTTTAAGCTCTCGTCACTGAAGCCCTGGGAATGTGGGTCACGTAGCTGCTCATTGAGGACAATCATCCGAGTAATTAACAGGCATGGAAACGTGGAGAACTGAACGTCTGTTTCCACCGAGCTGGTATGAATTCACCTTTACAAGCTCATCAATAAACCCAGAGGAAACAAAATGCCTCTGCTCCTAGAGCTGAGTCAAAGAAGAATTACAAACGGCTACATTAATATAATCTGATACCTTTGCTGTGCAGCTATGAATAAGAGCCAGTGGAAGAGTTTTGAAGATTTGGGGAATTTAAGGATCTTTCATCACAATGCAATTAAAAAGCTTTCTTCCCCTCCTTTGGCCGACTACCTAGTCAGCTTATGTTCCAACTGGAAGGCAGACAACAAGTTGGCACCTAAGGAGAAACCCATCAGGTCTGACAATTTCTCCAAGTAAATACCCAACATTCCTCAGCCTATAAACAGGCAGCGCTACTCTGCATTCTTATATTGGAGGAAGTTAGCTGGCACTGAACTTTAACTGACCCAACATTAAATATTTTCCATTGCTATTGTTACTGAACATCCAGCCTAGACTGTTACAGTTGTAGCCTGCATTAAGTTTATTACATGAATGCTGTGACCATTTTCACAAATCCTCAATTAGATGTTTCAGTAAACTATTTTAACACTCCTAGAATGACTCTTTACTTACTAGACTGACTTTCCAGTCAGTGCACTTTTAATCCCGACATCCCAGTGAGATGGTGATACGCAGAGCTCCATTTAAGGAGAAGTCGAACCTCAGTTCAAGGCGCCCCCCCAAAAGGAGATGTTTGAGAGGGGCATTTTGAGGCTAATCTACTCTATAAACTGAAATCTCCTTGCTGATGGCAGCGCATGCAGACTTTTTCCACTTCAAAATGACTGATTACTACAGCATAACTCAAGGTTTTAACTCTGCTATCTGGTTCATTTTAGGGTAGGGCACAATCAATCCAGGCAGCAAAACACTCCAAACATATATCAACACTCCGCTGTAAGCCACTAAAAGACTTCAGAGAGAAAATACTTGTACTAAACACTTTGGAATGCTATTTGGGTCTGGCAAATAACGAATTTTAGAAGACAGTATTTTACACCCACATGCGGAGCTCTTTAGCATAATAGCTAAAGCTCACTAATGTGAGACTAATGGAAGTTACTTTAAAGATGAGGAGCACACACCGGTTGGTCCCTCACCTGGGCGTGGAGGGCGGCAGCAGCCGCAGCAGCTGCTGGGTAGGTGAAGGCTGCGTGAGGGAGGCCTGGAGTCAGCTCCGTGGTGTAAAGGGGGTAAGGAGTCCAGGCATCAGGTGATGCTGGGATCAGTGCTGCCCCCGTCAGATCATCTGGGGAAGCACAGAACAGGGTTGAAGTAAATACAACGTTCACTGAGCCATTTCAAACTTTACATGCCTAAACCACAAAAACAAGGTAGGGATGGAACTTTGAGAATAAAGTTTAACGAATATGTGGTGAGATTTGTTACAAGTATTTAATAACTTGCTCTAATGGGATGCAAAAATAAAAAGCAGGTTTCTATTTAGCCTTCCTTTATTTTACTTATCACAAAAACCCTCCCAGTTTCTGAATCATTGAGATACAGGTGAAACTCAAAATTAGAATATGGTGCAATAGTCCATTTCAGTAATTCTATTTAAACAGAGACAATTAAAGCAATAGTTAAACACTTTAAGCTATTTGTTTAAAAGTGGGTTTCAGTGATTGTGTAGGTAAAAAAAGTTACCATCACCTTAGACAGCATTCTGCAGCCTTCTGCCAACAGAAATTGAACAACAGATTTGTGGAACGGGTGGTTGCCCTAAATGGAACGCTCTTAATGGGCTTGACACACGGGAGGCAACATCGCCTCTCCTCCATTCATTTTCAATGAGACATACGCGACAAAGCCATAATCTCGGGTCTCCCTCCGAAGTCAAACGCGAAAAACGCGTGTGTGAAATTTTGCACTTGTGCACGTGTCGTACACAGGCGACCCAGCGATGCGATCCCAGAAAGTTGAAATATTTTCAACTTTTCATCGCTGTCGCTCGGACGAGGTCCAATCAACGGAGGTTTCTTTCACTGACCAATGAGCGGACAGGATGCTCCGTACACCTCTGAGCAAACATGGAGAAGTTGATTATTATGTTTTATAAAGTAAAATCAGAAGTAAGAGTTCACACAACTCTAGCAGCACCTTGTGAAACATCATATCTACCACTTTATTAACTCTGAATCGCTTAAATAACCTTAATTCCATCCAACCTGACACAGCCAAACAAAACGTAAGTTTTGATTTCGTCATGGAACAGAACGCATAGACGTTTTTGCCGCTGGCTGCTGCCGCGGATCGCCTCCCGTGTGTCAGGTAATAAAAGAGACAGCAACGAATATCGCCGATTGCAGTCGTTTGTCGCCTCCCGTGTGTCGAGCCCCTTACTCTACAATAGCTGATATAAAGGCTAGCAGTTAACTTTTTCAGGAAAAAAAGAGCTTTTTTTGGCATGGTGGAGCCAGGAGGTAACATGAAATAATGTCTTTAGAGGCAAAGCAAATAGCTAAAACTAGAGTGAATATTGATGTGGTCTACACAAGGTTGAGAGAGCTGAAGGGGGCCATGAAGTCCTGGACTGATTGTGACCTGGCTTTGTTGCTACTGGTCTTGTGACATTTTTTGTCCAACAGTGCAGATCTTTTTACTTTGTGGCTTATTTTGTAGTTGGCTGATGTTAGTTTGTTATTAGTGCTAGCTACAGCAGGCTGCTGCAAGGTTGTTTACGACCATTATTCCACTTAACCAGCTGGAAGGAGAAGAAGAAACCGTTTAGTTTTACTTTAAAAGCCCAGGAGGAACCCTTTACAGGTGTTCTGGATCCATTAGCGGATTAGAGTGCGACACCAAGCCCAAAATGCTGAACCTTTTCACAATATTCTAACTGTATGAGATTTTGAATTTGAAGTTTTCATAAGCTGTAAGCCACAATCACATTTATAAGAAATAAATGCTTGAATTATCTTAATTTTGATGCAACGAGTCCATCTCATGCATTGGTTTCACCTTTCAAATTGAATTACTGAAAAAAAAAAATTATCATTCTAATTTTTGGAGTTTCACCTCTAATTCTGCTTTGATTATTTGACAGCAACCTGCAGCAGATTTGAGAGCAGCCATTTATCCACCGTACAAATTAAAAATCTGGCTTCAAAATTAAATTTAAACTTATCAACTCAGCAACTTTGAGGAAAGGGTTTCATAAACGCTGGATTATTTACAGGTCTTCGAGCTGTTTTAAAACAGCTGAGGGATTTTTCCTTTTAAGGCTCACTGCCACACCAATTAAATCGGGCAAACATCGGCTTGAAAGAAACTCACCATTTTTCGCCACCCCCTGTCTGAACCCAATAAATCACACAGATGTTTAGGTAAAGAAAGCCGAGACACTGCTGACTTAATGCTACAAGTGGGATTTCCCATCTGGATAGAAGCAAAGTGACTGTCTAATAAATTGAGATGATGCATGCATGTGAAGGTGAGTTAGTCCTTATTTGTTAGAAACCATTTTTACCCCCCACCTTTACAAAATACCATAAGATCTTATGATTTTAAAGAGAGCAACAATGTTCACTGAGCACTGGCATTGCCAAAGTGAGAGTGCATGAGAGCCTAGAGTGGTGCAGCCGTACAACTTACATGGGTCCCGTGCAATGAAGTGTGCTCCTAGAGCAGGGTGGATATTTGTGGGGTTCGGTGTGGCCATCAGCTTACTCTTTGCCATCTTCGTGTTGGCTTTAGCAAACTCTAAGCGCAGGGTCTGGGGGCTTTCGGGATCAAAACGGATACCCTGGGAGGAGAGACGGAGGGAAGGAAGTAGGGGAGGGTGACATGGTATTTTAAGGGAGCTGAGTTTTTTTTGGGGGGGGGGGGGGGGGTTGCTCAATAGTCTCACGTGGCCTCATTTCCTAAAGCAGTACCTCAACACTCAAGGTGCATCCTTCAGGTTTCCCCTGGGATAACACCTGTCAAGTGGTAAAACCACACCATCTCCTCATGACTTAGAAATCAAAAGCTGGGTAACCTGCAGGATGCACCTCTGAAATATGTCAGCATGCTTGCATCTCCATTTCCTCTTGACAAAATCCAAGGCGATTAATGGAGTCAGCCCTCCCAGGAGCCAAGAGGAGGAGGAGATGAGGAAAAGGGCCTGCAATGAGACTGTGTCATTTCTTAGAGGTGGTTTAACCCTTTTTGTGTTCTTGTGCCCTAAGCATTGTGCCCACATGCAGGTGAGTAGTATTTTGGTGTATGTGTGTGTTGTGTGTGTGTGTCTGCTGGTGTGTTTTAAGAGGTGAACTCATGAGGAATGCTAAGCTATGAGAGAGAGAGAAGTGTTAGATACTGCCAACGTGGGCTACTGGGTGACAAAATAAGAGGTTACACTACTAAAGATGTGTCCAAATAACACTACACATGTGGCTTCAGAACAAGTATTACAGTAAAGCAGTGATATGCAAAATGAAGAAAGATATTATCAGACTAAGAAGGATGTGTATCAAGGTCAAAGTAAACTACCGTAAGGCTACAGGATTCTGGCCTCTTTCCAAAAATGGCCCTGCCACTGAATTGTAGGAGACAAAATGGATTGGCTATGAGAAATTTCAGTGGGAGAGAGGATTCAAGTCCCAATATGTGAGAAAACAAAATAATTTAAAATGAAGAAAAAGGGCAAATTTTGCAAAACACTCAGAAATTTGGTGAAATTAAATTGATGCTTACATTTAGTGCATTTTTTGCAGCTTCAGCTCCAGAGCGACTGTCAAAGGTTACAAACCCAACAGGCTGGAAGGTAAAGGAGAAATTTCACCATCAGACAAACATGAATTGGCTTCAATACTGCATGCTTGCTTACAAAAATAAAAGAAATAAAGAGCTCAGTTTTGAGGCTACAATAAGAACGTCACTTCTTGGAAACTTAAGAGCTTTCTGAAACAGAGAGTATCTCACCTGTTTTGATGTTAACTTAATCAGTGACCCTTCATAACCCTGCAGGGGAAAAAGATAGCCAATTATCCACCATGGAGTCACATGAAGTCAGTGATGCATGAAAGTCTCCCTGCATGAAGGTAAACGCTCTTGTCTACATCATCACAGAAACACCTGTGTCCCACTTACATTTCTTCTTGAGTTAGAATAATAAAACAAACACTTATGAGTTCCCTCAACAGAATTCTATTCACAATGCTAAACAGAGGAATCACGCAACACCAACAGAGCAAGTATTATCAGAGCTATGCACAGATAAGGCACGACTTCCAAATAAAAACAACCAGCAGTGCGTTTGGTTAAGTCAGGAGTAAACTCGAGAGGAATGGAGAATTCTCCTCAAAGAGAAATATGGGATCCCTTCTGATCTCGGCTTTCAAATAATGGAAAATTAAACAATTTTCAGTAAATCATTGGTAAAATAAAACAAATAAAAGCTAAAATACAAAAACATGTTTTTCCAGAGAAGAAAAACATGAACTTGTGTCCTCAAATGTTATAAGTATGAATACAGTCTCAGATGCACATGGGGCTGCGTCTGAAGAGAAGAGGAAAATGGAGACACGTTTTAGAGGTTTTACTATGTAGAAATGTTTGGAGGGGAATTAAAAATGTCTAGATTCTGGGTGAGCTGGGTCACGGAGAGGCTCGGTTGGCCAATTGCAGGAGCTACTCATTTACACATTCCTCGAGAGCATCCATGTGCGAGGGACACCACTTCCAATTTGGTTAGTTAGGACAAGAGTGGCGTGTTTATGGAACTCAAGTCCTGGGGAAAATAATAATAATCTGTGGGACAAACAATGACGTGACCTCATTTCCATATGAAAATATGTGGGCTCCCACTAATGGGACGATTAAACTTAAAGGATTCATCTCAGATTGAAGAGTGAGGTTACCTTATAATATTAAAGCAGTTGGAAAATATTAACTTTAACATCTATTTTTATTCTTAAACTCTAATAACCCATAATTGTTCTGTTTTTAGTACATCCAACTTGCCTTAAAAGGTCTGAACAGCAGGTAAAGCTCGCGTGGTTTAATGTCAACTGGTAGGCCACTGACGAACAGCGTTCGTACCTGGAGAGACAGGACAGATAAAAATTAGCCATGAGTTCAACGCTTTAATGTTGCTCAACTACAAACCCGTATATGGAGTTTAAACCATGACACATTCGATTTGACAGTTATGTGTTTGAGGATTTCAGGGAGCCAATTTCAGATCAACTCAGTAAAGTCATTAACTTCATTTGTGGGGATGGGGAAAAAAACGTTAAAATTAAGTAGAATATTTCCCCTTTTTGAATTTTATAGTTAACTTCAGGCTCATCCCAGCCCCTCGCTAAAATGTCCATCAAATTCATCTAGCTTTAAACAGTGCATAAAATTACTACAAAGTTAGATTTCTCATAATAAATAAAACCTAAATAGATTTTTTTCTCTCCACAAATCACAATTTAACATTTAACCTAATGGGAGCTCCTTGGCTGAACATTCAGTGTGTGTATTTGTGTGTGTGGACTGAAGTGTGCGGTGCGAAGGCCATTAGTACTCAAGTCGGTGGGGAGGCCCTCAGCACAATGCAGCAAACAGAGGAACAGCGCAGGACAACAGTGCACAGCATGACACCATTTCCTTCCTCTGACCAGTGGTCCCAACCCCGTCTGCATTTTTCAGGTTCCGCACAGGCACAGCATCAACTCCCAGCTCATTGCATGTCTACATATATGCTGCAGCAGACACACTGTGGAGGTTTGAAATTATTTCTCAAGCTTGTCAATGACCGAGCGGATCCAGGACGCAAGCAGATGGTGAAAAACAATTCCAAAAATTCTGATTTACAGTTAATCTCTCACACACACACACACAAATCAAGGCATTTCCAGCCAATTTTTAAATTAATTACCATTGTTTTTTCTGTTACACTTAATGTAGGGGGGACATTTTCAAGCAAATTAGGATAAAAGGGGAGAGGTCAGGGGCCCATATAGGAGGCTTTGTTAGACAATTGGAACAAGGAAGGATAAACAAAAGGCCCACTGCTTCCTTCTGAGCCTCTCCATAAGGAGCCATTAAAGAGGAAATATAGATGGCCACACAGCGAGATGAGGGGCAGTCAAACATTTCATTTAAAATAAAAACCGGAAATTATTTTACCACTGAAATTTAAAGTCATGTTATCTAAAAATAAATTGTTTAATTCCAAATAATCGGAGGCAGGCCCATTTCAATAAAAATCTTGTAAATTTTTAAAAGTTTCGTAAGTAAAAAAAATAATCTAAACCAATGGGTTTAATATTTTTATTGGCTAGCCTACATTTTATTTTAGAACGATCTGTAAGTTTTCTTCAAAAAACGAGCAAATAATGAAATTCACTAAAATGTGTAACACAAGAGAAACTTATAAAGTAAAAGAAAATGTTTAATTAGCTAAAAGGAAAGCCGCAGCCGGCGACAGCTGCGGGGCTCGCTTCACCGGAGAGTTATTGTTAAAACCAGTCTGTCCTTTAAGTTTCTCCTTTTAAAGAGCTGCTTCGATACGAGCATGAGAAGTATTCAGAGCTCTGAGGAGGCTTGGTTGTGCGGCCGGAAGTTTAGGTAGTGCGCAGCAGGAACAACATCCAAAGAAGAAGAAAAGTTCCGCACTTACCTCCTCTTCGATGGAGACGTTGTTATTGGGCTCGGAGTCGGATTTGAGACTCATGCTGACGGCAGCTTCGGCTGTAGCTGCGCAGAGAATCAGGTTTTTCCTGGTGGAGTGATATTTCCCCCAAGTGCGTCTGAAGCTGCAGTGAAAGTCCTGGTGGCGCTTGAACTTGAGCAGAGAAGAGGTGCCGAGGTGAGGTCGAGCCGACGAGCCGCTGTCCGAGGGTGGCTTCAGAGAACCAGAGAGAATCATTCATGAAAGAGACGGAAAAGTAAAGAAAAGGAAACTCAGGCGACGCTAAAACTAAAGGTGAGAAGGTGGTTTGGTGCTCCGTGTGTGAGGGTGAAGAGATGTGTGGGGTGGGGGGGAAGAAGTGCGCGTGAACACTGGAAGCCTTGCGCTCACATCAATGCCCTCAGCTGCGGGACTGTGCGGGGGAAGAACAAGTTAACTTTTCTCATTGGAGCGTCTCTCTCTCTCTTTCTATCCCCTCCCTCTCTCCCGTCTGTGAGTGCCCCTGACTCCCTATCCTCATCCTCCTCCTCCCGCTGCTGCTTTTCAATTAGGTCATCAATTATCCTGGAGTCTGCTGTGAGCCGTAATCACGCGCAGATCCGCCTCAGCTGTTGGAGGAGAGGCCGACCCCATCACAGCCAATAACCGCACAAGCCTCACCGGCAGGGCCTACGCATCATCACGGTGAACACAACTCGAATATTTTATAGCAAAACAAGTAAAAACACTCTATAATAAAATAATCATTTAGATTACTATTAGAGCTTTTAAAACCCACACTATGAAGTGTGTTTCTGTGTAACAGGTATGAATAATCATCACTATTTTAGATGGGGGTCCTGAATTGCCTTAGTTTGGTACCATTTTTCTCAGACAAGATTGACATGCTAGTGGCTAGGCCACACCAGCCTGGAGGAAACCGGAACTACTTAAAAATCTGCTATCACTTATTATTTACACTGGTTAATGAGCAGTGTAAATATCAGCATCAGCAACAGTTCTGTTGCATCCTGGGGTAACATTCAAGAAGGAAATGTTGAACAAGTTTCCCAGATTTATTCACTGACAAAGGTTTTATTGGGGGATTTGTTTTGTTCTCGGCTACTTAGACTCAGTGTTAATTTTGATAATAATTTTTATTTAGTTTTTGTCTTAATCTTTTGACAAAATTTCTTTTTAATTTTAGTCAGAATTTAGTTGTCCAATTTGTTTTAATTTTAGTCTTATTTTAGTCAACTAAAATATATGTATTTTTTCCACAGATGCAATAGTTTTCAACTTGTGCAAAGGGAATGTTAACAACTTGAATCTGTAAAGAAAGATGTAGAACTAACATTTCACACTTTGAATCAATAAAACTATATTTATAATTGTTTCTATAGCAATAATTATTGGAATTAACACTGGCTGAAATTGTCCCTCTCAATATTAATAAAATGAAAAAAATCTGTATAATATGCAGTAATATTTGTAAACATGACAGGAAAGGACATCATACCATCAAAACAGTAAATTCTTTTCAGGCGTATTTATTAGAGTTGCTATTAGACTGACTGATCAAGGTACGACACCTGTTTCTCTTCACAAAAGCACCACTAGAACTCTGATCACGCTAATCTTATCTGCCGTAGCAGCACCGCAAAAATAAAAACGATTAGACAAAAAGAGGTGTGTTGCGCTGATTCGTGAGCTTGGTTCGGTTAGCTGAAATCCAGCATCACTCTCCCACCCTCGCTCGCTGCTACCAACACCATAATACTTCTATAACCAAGGGAAACCCCGAATGTGTACTCACCAAGCAAATACATTTCAGACCATCACATCTACTGCTTTTACTTATTACACCTTTGAAATCGGCAAAATGTGTCAGTTTTCAATGTCATCTGTTATTCGTCAACGAAAATGTCGGTCAATATTCGTCAAAATTTAGTCTTTATTGGTGTGTAGGTTTTTGTTTTCATCTTGTTTTATCTGCAAAAATTCAATCATCACAAAAAATATAAATAAATGTATTTAGTCAATGAAATCAAAACTGCTTGGTCTAGCTCTTAGCACATCAATAGTTGGATGTAAATGCTCTTTCTTAAAACTGAGGGAAGCTAGCAGCAAGAAAAGAGTCATTTTTAGTAACTTTTAAATGTAAACACATTTATAAATGGCAACATCAGTGATACTTTTTATATTCTCTAAATGTATTTTGAACTATGTGCAGATATTGCTTGACTTCTCATATTTAAAATCAAATTTTATTTAAAAGCGCATTTCCGCACTGGCAATGGTGAGCCAAATCTCTGAATACGACACAAATCGGATAGTAAAACAACAATAAAAGCAATAAAACTAGGGATGCGCGATATATCAGCATCAATATCGATATCGGCCAATGTTAGTGGTCATTTTGTAACATATCGGCGTCAGTTTGATAAATAAACCTGAGCCGATTTTAACAACCAATATTTTTTCCATCTTGTTTCCATTTGTTTATCTGTTTCAGAGGGTGATGGACGTGATGTGTATTTGTCTAGTTATGTGACAGTGATTGTAATCGTCTCAGAAGAGTAAATGTGTGTGGTGTGTGTAAATAATAACGTAAATTCAGCTTTAGCAATTTTCATTCTATACAAAATCTGCTGATTTTAGACACAATAATGTCAGTGTAACGGTATTGGCAAATGTCAGTTATCGGCCATAACAGTGATATTAATATTGAATATTGTATCGGCCCAAACATTTCATATCGTTGCATCACTAAATAAAACAATATATATTAGCCAAGTCAGGCTAACGCATTCTCACACCCGAAGCGTCGAAAAATGACGCTGGGGTACCGAGCATTTGTTTCAGTGGGCGATGCGCTGTGCCAGAGCATCAGTTTCCAATGCCCACGAACATTTCACTGACATTTAACCTCTAACCTCTTGCTATTTAACCTTCCCCTCACCCCCATCATAACCTTAACCCAGTTGCTCATTCTAAACTTCCCGTTAATTGTGTTGGAGAGGGACGTTAAAACTAGAAACAACATTTTGAAAGTGCAAGAGCATTAAGGTTAAGATGGGGTGAGGGGAAGGTTAAATAGCAAGAGGGTAAAGGTCAGTATTTGGTGAAATCTCCGTTTTACCACCTCAGTTGTAAAACAACGCTCACAGCACGTTGGGAGTCCCAATGCATTGGAAACAAATGCGTGGTCACTCACCGCCATTTTTCAACCCTTCGAGTGGGAGAACATGTTGGTCAGACTTAAGCGTACTTTAGTATACAAACCCCATATTGCTTAAAAATACAATATTTTTATTTTTTCTGAAGATTTCTTGATGGACAGAAACTTGTGAAAGTCTCCTCATAAAACCAAAGGATAATGGTAAAATGTTGCAGGAGAACATCCAAATTAGTTTGACCTGATTTTCAGCCCCAGATAAATAAATATAAACATTTTTAAATAAAGGATTCCTCTTCAAATCGAACCAGAAACACTAAGCATAAGCATTTTAATTATTCTGATTTTCAGCTGGATGGGTACAGATAAAGCCCGAGTCGTTAGCTGGGGCTCGGTTCTGGACGTGAGCCCAGCATGCAGCGTGTTTCCTCACAACAAGGCAGCTCTGAGGCCAGACCGTTTCCTGACTTTGTATAGGAACACAATCAGGCCTGCTGGGCGAGGAGGGCGAGTGGACGGACATGTTCCCACTGTACTACTTCTGCAATTTTTTCTAAAAATAGCTACTCCTCCAAGTTTCAAATGCTTACATATACATCTAAGGGATGTCGTGAGTTGGTGAGAAACTAATTTATTTTTATTTTGCTCTCCTGACACACTCAGCCTGTTGTAACAGATGGATAGAAGCGAAACGCCCAAAGATCAAACAGATTATTGGTTTTCTGTTTCGCGTCACAACACTGGTTCCTCCCTTGAGTTTAGTGCTTGAATGATTCAGAGATCAGAGTCAGATGGTAAATAAAACAAATCCTCTGCAAATGGACCAGACCTGGAAAACAAGGTAAAAATAGTCACTGTTACTAAAAAACTGCAAAGGACATCGACAAAGCTTGGAGAAACATTGGTTCACAACCACTTTTAAAAAGAACATTGATCTGTTTTTTATTATTTGCATTAATGCAGGACTATTTACTTTACTTACACTCAACCAACCATTTAGGTCTATATCTTTGGAAAAAGAATATAAAAATGGACAGATGACACGTGAGAGTCAGACTATTTAACCTCCCAAACTTGTATTTGATGTGATTTAAAAGAAAAACTCATCTATTACAGATTAGCCAGCTCTCATTAACGGAAACAAATATTAAAATAAATTAAAAATGAAATCAAAATGTTGTGAAATTTCCCTTAAAAAAGGAAAGAAAACAAAAATATTTAAATTTAAAGTCAATATCAACTTTCTATAAATAATAACAAAAAGATCTAAGATGAAGAAAATAAAAATTTGTAGGGCAGGGCTCTAGGAGGTTAAATATCAAACCATTTATAGCTCCAATTTATTTTTAACTGCAAACATTTTGTTTAGGGTTAGGGCTCCGTTGAAGCCATAAACAACAGATATGTACGGATATAAATGGATATATGGCTTCTATATAATATATATATATATATATATATATATATATATAGATATAGATATAGATATATATATATATATATATATATATATATATATATATATATATATAGATAGATAGATAGATAGATGTGTGTGTGTGTGTGTGTGTGTGTGTGTGTGTGTGTGTGTGTGTGTGTGTGTGTGTGTGTGTGTGTGTGTGTGTGTGTGTATGTATGTATGTATGTATGTATGTATATGTATATATATATATATATATATGTGTGTGTGTGTGTGTGTGTGTGTGTGTATATGTATATATGCATGTATGTATATATATATATATATATATATATATATATATATATGTACATGTGTGTGTCTATGTGTGTGTGTCGATGGTTGAAGCCAGGAGGGGTTACTGGAAGACAAGACGAGTGGTTCTTTTCAGGGAACGGGCTCTCATCGTTCACTCTGAAAGGCTGTTCAAAAGATTCGATTCGTTCGTGAATGTCACATGACTGACAAAGAATTTGACTAATGAAAAAGCTGCTTCTGCTTATTCCTTCTTTAGTTGAGATTCATGATGTTATCCTTGTTGTTTGAAACCTTTTTCTGTTAACCTGACAACCAAAATAAAGAGAAGAAGAAAAGCTGCATCACATTGATTTTTATAGAAATGAACTGTACCAAATGTCGTCTATGTTGATTGTTCTCCTGCCCCGTCTTCCTCCTTGCAGTAAAAGCAAGGCCCAGTCAGCGTAAGAAGGGTTAAATAGTTACAATGACTCAGTGAAGCTCCAACCCTTTTATGCTCAAATATGTCACGGCCATTCTCACTGCCAAAGAGTACTCCATGTAGACGTATGCTACAAAGATTTCTTATTTATGTGTCTCTACGGCTGAATTTTAAAGAAGACTTGAAGTTGTTTGAAGCTAAACTTGTTGGCCTCTTCCTCCTGAGTGCTACTAA